ATATATATATATATATATATATATATATATTTATTTGCATTCACTCCCAACAAGGCTGCAAGCAACCACTATTAAGTTGGGAGTTACTAGGAAAAAAAAAGAACAGAGTTATAGAGCAAGGAAACGGTTGACAGAAGACTTGAAAAGTTGAAGGTTGTATGAGTCAGGAAAACATGAAGATGGGAGAGAGTTTCAAAGGATTGAAGTGCGGGGAAAAAAACTAGATGAATAAAAGTTTTTAGAGCATGCAGGGACAGATACAGTAAACGAATGAGACTTAGCTGAATGACGAGTAAAACGAGAATGAATTTTAGTTGATGGAACAAGAGATGATAACTCCTTTGAGCAGTGACCATGATAGTATCTGTAGAAAAGAGAAAGAGATGCAACTTTACGACGATGGGAAAGAGGTTCAAGCTTAGCAGATAGTCCAGGTCCAATAACATTTACAATGCATTTTTGGACCTTGTCAAGAAGAGAAAGTGAATCGTTAGAAGAACCAGCCCAAATATGACAACAGTATTCCATACAGGGACGAATAAGAGATTTGTAGAGGTAGAGAATGGAATCAGAAGTAAGGAAATGGCGAGCACGATAAAGAGAAGCAACCTTAGCAGAAGCTAATTTAGCAATTGATTGTATATATGGTTTCCATGAAAGGTCAGTAGTAAGCGATAATCCAAGAAGACGTAAAGAGGAGGACTCAGTAAGAGGATTGCCATTCATTAATATAGGAATGTTGACCATATTACGGTAGTTGTTTGCAGTGTGAACCCCAATCTATAACTGAAGTGAGATCAGATTCAAGATCAGCTGCTTGTTCTAGGCGATCGAAAAGAGAAGACTTTTTGTCAAGACAGGAGTATAAAGTTGAGTCATCAACAAAAAGAGCTACTTTAGATGAAAGGTTGTCAGGAAGATCGTTTATGTAGATAATATATATATATATATATATATATATATATATATATATATATATATATATATATATATATATATATATATATATATATCCTTATATCATAGTCAAAAAAGACTTTCTTGGTAAAAAAGTCTCTTTCAACAACATTTAAGTGACAATTCAACAATTAAGCTACATTTTAATGTCATCTAAAAGTTAAAACAATTAAAACAATGCAGAAGTACATTGAGTTTTATTTTTTTAAAAACCGCAATAATAATCACTAAATAATTTTTTAATTAATAGTGTTTTTGTTTTTATTTTTTTTAAACATGTTTTTAAAACATGCGCTAAGTGTTACTACATTGACTATCTTATACCCTGTTGCTACAAGGAAGTGTTGCTACATTGACTATCTTATAACCTGCTGCTATAAAAAAGTGCTGCTACATTGACTATCTTATAGCCTGCTGCTACAAGGAAGTGCCACTACTTTGACTTAGAGTTTGGTTTTAATAGTCATTTAAAAAAAGCTTCATTCAAGTTTATAAATTTTTTCTGGTTTGGTTTATTAGTGCTTTCTTTAAAACTACAATTTATGGAAAAAACTTTTCCACTATCATGCAAAACATGGTAGTGGAAAAGTCCATAACTGTAACGTATCAGAGTACTTACACTTTTTCTATCAACAGCTGTAACATATCAGAGTACTAACAGTGCCATGTTGTGCATGGATAGTGTCCCTGTTCATTTATTTTGGTGTACATTGTTGATGCCACAATTGGAGCCCTTTGTTATGGTTTAGAGTTTGTCAATACCAATAAGGCAATTGCTTGGACTAGTAAATAGTGTACAGAGTACTATCTGTGCTTTGAGTTAAGTCCTTTAACAAATACAAAAATGACTAAAGTATTAAAAACTATAAAACACAAAAACCATTGTCATCACCAAGTTCTCTAAACCTATCATTCACTAATATTCATGGTCTTTGAAGTAACTTTTTTTATGTTGAGTTTTATCTCTTGCAAAGTTCACTAGACTTGTTTTTTTGAAACTAATTTGAGTTCAGCTTTCTCATCTTGTGATCTTAGCATTGATAGTTATCTTCCTTTAATTCGTAAAGATTCTAATATTCACATGCTTGACCTGGGCATTTAAATTCATAAGAATACACCCATTTGTCGGGAAACTAGATTTGGATCGACAGACTATTCTTTTATGTACTTTTGCTTAGCACCACTTCACTCTATCATCTTTCTCTTTGTTCTACATCGCCTCTCCATTTTATTTTAAATCAAATTGGTTATGCCCTTTCTCCTTATCTTTCAACCAATATCTTTGTTTTTAGTGACTTTAATGCTCATCACACTGAATGGCTTGGCTCTAATGTCAGTGACTTTACAGTCATTAAGGCCCACAATTTTTGCCTTTCTTAATCTCTAACGTAAATAGTCAACTTTCCAACTCGCTTACCAGACAACTTGAGTCATTTATCTTCTCGACTTATGTCTTGTTTCTGATCCTAGTCAGTGCTTAGTTTCTCCACGTTCACCCTTAGATGCTTCTGATCACGGTTTGAACTCTCTAAAACTTTAAAATCCAGTGTTATTTTATCATATAGAACACATTAAGGTGCATGCTGCAAATATTTTTAACACACACATGTCGGTGTGTATGTGAAATAAAGTATTTATAATAGTTTCTAATAAAATGTGTGTTAGTATTTAGTATAAAATAAATATTTACGATTTTATTTTTTAGATTATTTCCTCCATTAATTATGGATTCAAAAATTGCTCAGTTTCATGGAAACCAATTGTTTCTGTTAGTTATTACAAAATGTGGATTAACAAGTGTTTGGTAATTTAATATTTGCAATTAAAAAAAAAAAAAAAAACATTAAAATGATTTATTAGTAGTTATAAATTTTTTTATTCTTTTTCTTTTTAATTTTCTTTTAACATGTGTCATTTCTGATTATGATGGTTTCTGATTTGATGTGGTTTGTAATTTGATATTGTTTCTGATTTGATGTGGTTTCTGATTTAATATGAATTTTGATTTGATGTGCTTAGTTTAACAGAAGTTAATGAAGCAATAAATAAAATAAATTAAATAGCAGTGCTGCACCAGAGATGATGGTCTGTACTGTAATAATGTCATAATTAGATTGTCAGAACCACACTTGTAAGACAATTTAAAGAATGTTTGATTAAATGTTTGGCCAAGAGTTATGGTTGTTTTATACATTTTATGGTGCTTTACATTGCTTGCTGGTCTGTTTGATTTTTTTTCAAGTCACAGTCAGCAACAAGGATGTTACTTTTATTTAAACATGTTTTATATATTATATACAGTCCTCCAAAACATAAGCAACCAAATAAACGATATTATTTTTTCAACTTCAATTACTGAAATAGGATTTTTTTTAAATACTGCTTACTTAAAAAATACTAAAGCAGTATTTTAAAATATAATTTTAAAATACTGCTTTAGTATTTTTTCAAAGTCAAACTCTTAATACTTATACATAAAACAACTTCCTGAAAATGAGTAAACTGTTGTTAATTCATCTAAACTCACTAAACGATGATTTGCAATGAATCAAAATGATGTAATAAAGTGGCCCAATCATCTGATCATCCAATTGAAATTTTATGACATTAAGTTGAAAAATCTTTAAAACTCAAAGGACCAAAAATGATGATGAGCTATATAAAGCTAATAAAGCCACATAGTATTGGATTACTTAAGAAAAAAATGTATAAACTTATTGAGTCCTTATTGTCTAAAAGATATGCTATGATAAAAAAAGTAGTGGACATTTCATTAATTATTGAAGTTAGTATTTTTTTTTTTTAGTAGTAGTTATAAAAAAAGTTGCTAATGTTTTAGAAGATCACAGTTTGTGGGACTTGGTGACTTGGTATTCTTCTAGCTCCAGTCATTTAAATATTTGTTTTTATAAATTACCATTGTAAATTTCTTATTGGCAATTACACACACAAATTTTATATTTAAAAGCCAATACATGCAAAACAGCACACTTTTCAGGTAGTCAAATTTATATATAAATTTTTTTCCTATATCTATTATTAACATTTTGATTTTATTAAAAGAGTAAACTTAATTCAGAAAAAATGCTGTTTTCAGTAATAGATGTTAAAAACATAAAGTTTTTTCCTTGATTACTTGTGTATTTGTTTGTTTATGTGTGTGTGTGTGTGTGTGTGTGTGCGTGTGTGTGTGTGTGTGTGTGTGTGTGTGTGTGTGTGTGTGTGTGTGTGTGTGTGTGTATTAGGATGTTTTGACCTCAATTTCAGCAATATATACATTTTTTTAAATACATACTTTACAATTTTATATATTTACTGCCCATTTTTCCTAGAGGATTTAGAAAATGTTCGTTGGAAATCAGGTGATTTGACCAGTGTGTTAAAGACTAATCAGAGAACCCTTATTCTCAGAGAATTGATGCTAATGACTAATTAAACAACCTGTCTATTATTTTGTTTTAACTACTTTTTGTCTATTGTTTAAATTTAACAACTTATTGTAACAATTAAAACTTTTAATTAAAGGGTGAGTGTGTGTTTAAAGGGTGATCTGTGTGTGTGTGTTCAATATATATACATTATATAAAATATTTATAAAGATATCCTGTAACGTAATTTTTTTTTGACATATGAATTAAAAAAAATGATGATTTCTTTTAACATTAGCAAACAACAAAATTATTAACTAAAGTTGATTGAGTTGTGTTCTTAAAAAAAAGAAAAAAAGATGAAGGATGAGAAGAAAAAGTATATACTAAAAGTATAAAAAGTAAAAAAGTAAACTAATCCAAAGAGGCTGCTGTGTCTCTTGAAGTACCCAATCAGTGAGCTTCTAACAAACAGTGGCCAACTGTTGGAAATATTTAAAGACATATTAAGATTCAAAAATCTAAGGTTGAACAAATTTCAATTTTTTTATAATTATGAAATAAAAGTTTAGATTTCATGCAACACAGATTCTTTCAATCTCCGTTCCCCATCCCCACATGTCTAAAAAGGAGACGCAAAACTTATAAGACCAACAATAACATAATAAATAAATCTTACTGATCTAAAATAAAAATAGTCTATTTTTATTTTAGATCAGTAAGATTTCTATCTACTAAGTTGATATAATAAGTTGATATACTAAGTTGATAGTAGCCTGCCCTCAGAATCGTAAGCACAGCTAAAGATTGTTTCCTGAACAGAGATAGGTTGTCTATATCATATTAGATGTTTATAAAAAAAAAGTTTAAAAAAAATAAATCTTTATCATCAGTTGATCCAGTGTCAAGGATATTGACACTCTATAATAAGTAAACATATCTGCATTGTATCAATAATTGAACTGGAAATCTAGTGATTTGCAACTTTTGAATCAAAAATCAGTGGAGAATAAGCATCTTTGGTTTAGGAGGATGGAGGATGTAAGAAGGAGGATGGAGGAGGCAATTAAATTCATTAAATTTAAGGGTTTTTTCTAAAACTGGATTTCTGAAATTTGACATAGTGGCCTTTCTTTGGCGCCTTTTCTCTGCAGTTAAAGCCTTCATAAAGTGAGAGATGTATACCTCTAAAACATGTCTTCTGCAGAAAATCATAGAAGTAGAAGGCCGATAAGAAAAACAATAGCTGCAGAGTGTACTTGTTAATAAACTGGGTTGCACCAAATAGTTGATCTACAATGTTAAATATTCTAGCAGATTTGTTCTATCAGAGGTTGTCTCTTAATAGCTGATTCTTCCAAAATATTTTTTATATACTTCTTTTGACTGGACTTTTATTGTACTTCTTGATAGATTAATTCTTAGATTAGCACCAGTTTTGTTGTAGAGCATTGCAGTTACTATTAAAATTTGATGGCATTTCCCTACTCTGTTTCAAGCAGAATTCTACACTGACTTTTGTAATGATTGGTCTAGCTCATTTGTAGTATACATATTTTTCTCCTTTTTCATTTAGATAGATCTGATAATCAAGAAGTTACTTCTTGATTATTCTCTGTTCTTTTTCTGTTCAAATTGAGGTATACAAACGAATTGAACAATATCAAAGTTTTACTCTTCTTTAAAAACTAACTTTCTATCTTATAAAAGTTGCTATCACTAGATTTTCAGTTCAATGATTTGATACAATTCAGACCCCCCTTATGGTGAAGTAGATCAGTGAAAAAAGGAAAAAGCTCCGAAGTTGTTAAACGCTGTTTAAAGTTTGATTTGCATGAATGATTATGCAGAGAGAAACATGTGTCTTATTCTGGACTTTGTAAGTAAATGTAAATCTGAATATATGCAACAAAACTTAATGGTGGTGACCAGGGTCTACATGAAGAAACTTAAAAAAGCCTTTCTTTAAACTAAATAAAAAGTTTATAATTTATTATCCTTGAAATATATTTTTTGATAAATATTTTCATCTTTGTTACAGAAATGTGTAAAACTTTGATTTTTAACAAAAAACAGATATTTACATATTGCAGAAGTTAAATTCAGAAGTTTTTTGTGTGCATATATTTGCAATCAAGGAACAGGATATAGAATGGGAATAAACTGTGAATATATATATATATATATATATATATATATATATATATATATATATATATATATATATATATATATATATATATAAATATATAAATATATATATATATATATATATATATATATATATATATATATATATATATATATATATATATATATATATATATATATATATATATAAATACATGACAGGATGTATTTTTGCTTAAAATAAAGTTTAAACAAATAATGTTCAATCAACTGAGTTCAATACAATACAAGAAAGATTTTGAGGCATTAAACAAGACAATCGATGAGCTAAAAAATTGCAATTCACATTTGTTAGAATGAATTTAGATTAGAAATAGAAAGAATTTGCTTTAGAAAATGCATCAAACTCAATATCTTGGGCAAACGTTTTTAGTGGCAGAGCACCAATAAAAAAAGTCAGTTGAGCAATTATATATTATGAATGTTGTTGCTGTCAAAATAAAAGAAAGAGAGGAAAGACCAAGAATAAAAATGAACAAAATTCTATTTTAAAAACTGAGAAGCTTTTAAAATAGAATTTTAAAAGCTTTTGTTGGTTTTAAAAATATGTCAATCAATAGCAAATTTTTGTCAAAAAATAACTTGATTGAGAAAAAAATTGAAAAGTGAAAAAATAAGTTAAAAAAATATAGCTAACAAACAAAGAATTTCAATAACAATGCCAGCTTTTCTTTACAAAAAAATTAAATAAAAATATGTTTTTTTCATCTTTTTAATGCAAGAAGCCTTGCCAATAAACTTCATGAGTTTTATTTATATGCAGAGGCAACAAAACTTGCTGTAATCTGCGTTTGTAAGACATTTTTCAATATTAAACTTTTAAACCCTATTTTGTGTCCAAAAGATTACTCAATTTGTTGCAAAGATTGTATTAAAATTGGAGGGGGAGTTTTAATTTACTGTAGAAATGACATTATGACACAGTAGAATAAGTACAGATTAAGCAAACAGATACTGATATTGATATCATTTGTGTTGATATGATTTTTGGATCACTTGGTCTAATAACTTGCTATCATCCATCTTTTTATACAATAACAGATGTCGCTTATCTTTAATTTATTGTTAAAAAACTCACACGCAAAATAAATCTTTTTGAATTTTCTTGATTTTCTAATAACATGTCTCTTATAAGTGATATATCTGTTAAGTGTCCTTTTAGCACAGCAACCATGACACAGTCTAATTTTCTGTAAATACGAACAATTTTAACCAGTGTAAAAATAAATCAGAATCTTTCTACAACTTTACCTGATATTAAGGGTCTTAAGTTGTATCTATCAAAAATCAATTGGGATTTAAATTAGGGTTGAGGACTACTGGAGCATTTTTCTAAGGCTTTTTTGGTATTGGTATTAATGAATTTGTACCTATCAGGAAAAAGTATTATAACAAAATGAATAATCATTACCCAAAATACATTTTTAAAAATCTTAAGCCACAAAGCGTTTTTATGGAAAAAATGGGCGAATAAAAAAACATTAAAAAAAAATAAGCTTACAAACAGTACGCAAGGAATTGTAAACAAATCTAATTACCAATTATCATATCATTATCATATACCATATATCAAATCAATTGATATATGGTATTTATATGATGATGATCGAATTAACATCTACTAAGTTTGCATCTCTTTATCATGCTCGCCACTTTCTTTCTCCCGATTCTATTCTTTATCTCTATAAATCTCAAATCCGTCCTTGTATGGAATACTGTTGCAATATCTGGGGTAGATCTTCCAATTACGCCCTTTCCCTCTTACACAAGGTGTAAAAATACATTGTAAACATAGTTAGACCTGCTCTTGCAGCCAACCTCTAACCATTATCACATTGTTGTAATGTTGCTTCTCTTTTTTTTTAATATAAGCACTATAATGGGCACTGCTCTAAAGAGCTAGCATCTTTTTTAGCTTAAAATTCATTCTTATGTTACTCATCATTCTATTAAGTCTCATTCTTTTACTGTGACTGTTCCTAAGTGCTCTAAAAACTCTTATTTGTGCAGTTTTTTTTCTCGAGCATTAGTTCTTTGGAATTATTTCTTTTGAATATAATTTGCAATATTTTAAGTTGTCTGCCAATCATTATCTTGCTCTATAAACTTCATCTTTTCTTCCAGTAACTTTCAACTCTAATAGTGGTTGCTTGCAGCCTTGTTGGAGGTGAAGATGTTTAAAAAAAAATTGAAATTTGAATTAAACCTAATAGAGGGAAATAACATTAGAAAATTTTATAGTTATGCCAATAATAAAATGAATATCCCTAAAAAGCACCACCATCTAATAGACAAAAATAACAATAACAAGGTCACTTCAAGAAATATAGAAATGGCTAACGTGTTTAACCATCTCTTTGGAAGTGTTTTTATCAACAATAATAGCTGTTCTCCTAATATTGTCAGTTATGTTAATGATCCAATATGTATTGAAACGGTTTATTTTTCCGTGAAGTCAGTGTATGAAACATTAATGCAAGATATAGGGTGACATTTTTAAAATTTTCTGGGTCGTTTGAATTACCCAGCAGATAACATTTGATGTTTAAAAATAAAATAAAATTGTGCAATTTCAAAAAAACACTGCTTCTATAAAGTAAATGAATGAATGAAATCTTGAATGATTATATTATAAACTATATTTGTTCAATATCTACATTGATTCTATACTTATTTAGGGGGATATTGTCAGTGTCCATTTATTGGACCTGTGTGTCCTATAAAACATGTAGCTTGTTAATTTTTTTAAATAAATCTTTATCATTCTGTTTGGTGGTTTTCTGATTTCATTTGAAGTTTTAAAATTTTTTCTTTTCAAGATTATTGCCATGATTGAATTTGTTGTTTAATTATTTGTTCATTTGTTGTCATAGGAACACTAAAACAAAAAGCATTGTTGTTAATAAAGAATCTTTGTTGCACCTGTTAAAAGGTATTTCATTTTATTAGAAAATTAATAAATAAAAGATTCTAATATTTATTTTTATTATTTTGTTTATTTATATTATTTTTTTAATTTTCTTAATGTTGCTAGCCTTTTACTTTTATATTTAGATGGTACTTTGTCTATAACAAGTTGCTTTATAAATAAAAATGGTAGTCCTATAATAACTTTGTCAAATCATTCAGTGTATAGCTTTGATACACAGTTGGCATCATGGTTACTTTTTAATTTATACATCATATATTTTTTGAAGGGTATATGTTTTTTGAAGAGATATTTCCAAACAGGTTTTCGCCTATTTTTTTTTTTTTTATTTGAAAGTTTATCTCTAACTTAGCAACATTGCAACTGTCTGTTTTTTAATTTCTTTTTCACTCCAAAATCTTCATTATATGTGTTTAGTACATTTATACATAATTGTTATATGATATTTATATATAATATACAATTTTATTTGTTAATCAAAAATTAGTTTAGAGCTAGAAAACCTACAACTATTTTATTTTCTATGAATATAATTTTATTATGTGTTTAATTTAGTGTGGACAGTTTTAGGTGTTTAATTATGCCAAATTTGAACTTAGTTTGTATGTAAGTTATGTTGAATTGTGACATTATTAAATCAAGTAATTGTCTTAGTTATTTTAGTTATTTTATTTTAGTTTTATATCATTTTTGGCTTCACTTAACTTATTCAATCTTTATCATTATTCTTTTGAAATTGTTCATTATAAAATTTAGCAATAGTTTTTCTTTAACTGCAATTTTGAACAAAATAAAAACTTTTTTATTTTGCATGCAAAAAATCAACAAATTAAAAAAATTCTGTTGCAATAATAACTCGGTGCGGAGTAAGTTGCAACATTTTTTTTTTTCTTTTAATTTCACTATTTTTAGTTTTATATTATATTTATCAATGTTGGATTAATACATCATAAAGATCTATTCTATTACCCTGAAAAAAAATTTTTTTTAGTTATAGGAGGTCTAGTTTTTATAATTTTGTTGCAACTAGCCCCATTCTTTCCCATAAATCAGAGTTCTAGAAATGCTGTTGTAAATATGAGTTAAGCTGTTAATGACTTTTTGTTGCTGCTGACTTATTGCTATAGTTTTATTATAAAAGTTATTATTATTAAATTAGTTTGTTTTTAAAGGTTTTAGTTTAAAAATTGTAATCTAAGCCTAATGTTTTATTAATAGTATGTAAATAAATATATTTTTAACAGGTATATGGGTAACAGGTAGCAGGGAGACTGTTTTGAAATATCTCTTGAACACCCTCCATAAACTTGCTTTATGTTACTAAATATTACTTACAAATTTCAGAATTTTTAAATCAGATCAATAGAAAAATGTATATATACTATGTATATTTTTTTAATAAAGGACAGTTTTGTCAAGTGCATGTGATTCTCTACAAACAGCAGCTGATATTGGCTCCTGTTTAAGTGGCAATTTGCCATCAAAAGGTCCATTACATGCTATACAAGCACCGCTAAGCAGGTATTTGTATAAAATTAGTTTTCATTGTTATCATGCATAGATATACTTTATACATAAAATTATTTAAAATACTAAATAAATTATGATAAATTAATTATTTAAAATATTAAATAAATTATTATAAACTTCTTATTGTTTAAACATAAAAATTAGAAATTTTCAAAACCAAATTTCAAATCTTCAATTTGTTAATATTACTTACTTTATGCTGATGAAATTTTATGCAAGAAAGCCACCTTTAAACTGTAAAAATATATACATTCCAGATATCAAAAATGATAAAATTGAAATTTAACTATTATGTCCATTTTGTTTGGACATGGTAATGTCCAAACCTTAAGAAAGAGCTAAAATTATTCAAGGGGATCCACAGTTTGAGAGATTTATTGAGTCAATGCTGCACCATGTGCAAAGTACATGCTTACAGGAGAGGTTTATATGAAGAAATCTAATATATTTGTTTTCTGAAGTGGTTGAATTTTAAAACAAAGTTGGTTCAACAGTTTAGGGTTTTACTACTTGGTTGACAGGTGAAACTTAATGATACTGAAATTGGATAAGCTTTTGTTGAGTTAGACTCAAACCAAGTCTCCATTTGACTGAACATTTTTGGTTTACTGAATAGCTTTTAGGCACTCTATTTTCCACCAACTAAATACTATGGAGAAATGTTAACAAAATGAGACTAAATGAGTCTATATTAATAATGCTGTAATTGACAAACTTTTTTGATAAAAAAAAGATTTTTATTAGAGTAATATTAAAAAAAAATTAATTTAAAAATGTTTTAATTCTAGTTTTCGTTATTTAAATAACATTAATTCTCATTGAAAATTTTATAGTTCATTTTCAGAGCCAAAGGCTTATGCTATTTCTCAAAAACATATATAATGAATATGTAAATGTATATACACACTGAAATGTGTAGTTTTTAATTAGAAATTAGTTTTTTTGGTGTGTTTTTTTTTTTTTACCACAGTCATAAATTATTCAATTTAAATTTATTGCTTTAATGATCTATATATTTAGAATTTCTAAACAAACAGTAGCTGGCTTGCGTGTTAGTTCAGCTATACAACAGACATGCACACTTGCTTATTTAGAGGTATAATTTTTAAAAGATTGTTTTCATTTATTTACTCAAAGGTACACTTAAAACTAACTAAAATATTTGTAGATTTAAAAAGATTTAATAATTTCAGGTAATAATTAAAACACTTATTTAGTAATAACCATTTATTTATGACTTTTACCTGCAATCAATCTGTTTTGTTTGTTTAAGAACCTTTTGAATATTTTTAAATGCAGCCTTTTGATTTTAGATAAGTAAAATGTTTTAAAAATTTGACAAAAGTTATTTGTAAAATCAAAATCATTAAACACAAACAATAAAATTATTCAAAATCATTTAAACTATTTTAGCGAACAATCACAATCACAACATCAACTCAAATATTTTTGTGATAAATATCAAATTGTGTTAAACTTCTAAAATATGATTGGGTAAAATTTGTCTACAGTCACATTTATTATACAGTTACCTATTTTATCTGATCATTATCTCTCAAAACACTGGGTGTTTGGGTATTGGGTGGGTGTCACCAACCTATACTTCCCAATATTTCAACTTCATATATTTATAACATTCTGATAAAATTTGTTGCTTGATAATACTTGCAGTACCCCTGCGGTTACTAGAAATTATGATGAACGTTTTATGGTCATGGACAATTCTGATTTTGCGATATGGGACGAAAGATAGTTTTAGAAAAATTTCTTGATTCTGAAATCAACTTTTTGAGTGTGGTCACATGCTCTTAAGATGTGTTTAAAAGTTTAGACATCTAAAGTGATTTATAAATTTGAGTTTAAAAAAAAAGTTGAACAGTTTGAAGCATTTGACTTTTTTCTCTATGTAAAAACTGATACAATTGTTTTATATTGTATTTTATATATTATATTGCATTTTATATTTTATATTTTTTTCATAAAATATTAATATAGCTTAATTGGTAATATAATATACAAAAATATTTTATATATTTAACAATATATTTATACAAACTAATAAAAAAGTAAAAACAGACTTAAGGGTATATCACATATCCTACCTTTAGGGTATACCACATATTTTTCCACAACCGTGGCGCAGTGGTTAGAGCGCTTGCTTAATAAACAGGAGATCCAAATTCGAAACGAGCTTTGGTCATATTTTCTTGTCACGGTAAGGAAGGAGGCGTGAACTTCCCGGTTGAATGCAGTTCCGCAGTGCTCTATGACAAGACCGTTAGGTCTTCTTGGGGCACCTAAAAATAAAATTAAAAAAAAAATGCAAAACATAAAAAATACTTTTCCCATAGGGTTAAAAATTAATTCTCTTAAGGCAGAATATTATACCCCTTAAGGAAACAAATTACACACATATGACCATTTTTGGTACAATTTAACCTTGAAGGTATAATTTTTTACCTTAAAGAGGTAGGATACGTGATATACCCTTAGGTAGAAGTGTATACTTTTTTTTTTAGTTTGTAGTAATACTCATTTTAGAATCAAGTTTGTTCTGCATTGGCTATTGAGTCTGCTATAGAGTATAGATTTTGGTTAACGACTTATGCTAGGTACTTGGTTCAATCAGGTATGACTACTTATGCTAGACACTTGGTTTAATCTCATATAATTAAGTTATAAACTAAATGTGATTATTTTGCAAACTTTTGTTTTTTTTTTATAGAAGATGAATGCAGATTGAGGGACCTCTGTGAAGATTTATCTGGTGTCAATCAAGGAAGAAATGATGCTGAAACAAAACCAAAAATATTGGTATTTTTTATTTTAAATTGTTTGCTATAAATAGTTATTATTGCATTCACTGAGTAAATATTTATTGGGTTGATATTTATTATTTGTTAGTCTTATTTTTTTTATTACTAAATGTGTTATTTATTTTAAATATGTTATTTATTTTGAATGTATTATTTATTTCCGTGTCTATTGTTTATCTTAATTGATTATATTAATAATAATTTAATATTTTATATATTAGTAATACTTCAGTTCATATCAATAAGTTTAATGCCACGACTTATTATTAAGATAATGATAAATTATAATGAAAAGCGATATCAAATTATTTGGAGAAGTGCTTAATAATTTTTTTTTAATATGTTTTTAATTATTTTACTTATATTTTTAGTGCTTTGATAAAAGAGATTTATTGAAAGATATTCTTCCGATAATAGGTAAGTAGGAAGTAGATAGGTTGGAAGGTGATAAAAAAAGGTGTTTGGTGTTCAATTTTTCGTATATATTTTTATTTACTGTAATAAGTTAACTAATTAATTGAAAAACTAATTAGTCTGTAATTTGTACTTTTTTTTATTAACGACTTAAATAGTTATTTAATATAATAACGTAAAAATATATGAATATATAAAAAAATTTGCCGTTGCTCTAGACTATGTTTTTGTTGTTCAAATTGTCGTTGATAGTTGCTTTATCTTTAAGGTTTAAAACTTTTTAAAATTGTTTGTATATATATATATATATATATATATATATATATATATATATATATATATATATATATATATATATATATATATATATATATATTATTTTGTAGCGACAAACTTGCGATTTCAACGTTTCTACTCGGAGTTCCAGCAGCAATTAGACCAAAAGAAAGTTTGATTATATATGTATTTATTTTTAATGTATTATAAAAATAGAATAAAACTGTAAATTTTAATATGCAGCTTTTGCTTTTCAGTGTAAAAAGCGCACATAAAATATGCAAAAGCGCACATAAAATATGCAAAAGCGCACATAAAATATGCAAAAGCGCACATAAAATATCCAAAGGTTTTTCCACAAATAAATCATGAGATTATTCTTTTGTTCCCATGCAGAGCAAAAGAATGGAGGTAGTAGAAAATCTAGATAGTAAATCCCACATAAAACAAACGCAGCGACAACCATTATATCAAAATTCATAAAAACTTAAAAAAAAAACAATGTGTAACAAAGTTAGTTTTTTTTTTTTTTTTCAATCCTTAAGATTAGTTTGCGCTTTCTCTTGAGTTTAAATCATCACTGCACTGCTCTATTGATTGCTCAGAACTTAACTTTTTAAATTCTCCTGACCAAAAAAAAATGGTTCCTACAAAACGTGTGCGGCCGTGGCGCAGTGGTTAGAGCGCCTGCTTTATAAGCAGGAGATCCAGATTCGAAACGAGGTCTGGACATATTTTCGCGTCACGGTAAGGAAGGAGGCGTGAACTTCCTGGTTAAATGCACTTCCGCGGTGCTCTGTGACAAGAAAGTTAGGTCTTCTTGGGGCACCTTAAAATAATAATAAAAAAAAAAACAACTCTTACTGAATTAGTGTGTATAATAAACAACGTTATATGGAGGACAACAATTAAACTTATTCATAGTATCAATTACTGCTGAAAAAGTTGAGTTGTAATTAAATCCTAAAATTTTATTTTACATGTATTTTACTTAAATTTTATTTTACATGTATTTTTATGATAATTTATATTAATTTTTTAGTATTTTGTTTTAAAGCGCACATTTTGGTTTTCGTTTTTAATAATCACTTATGATAAGTTTAATTACCATGTGTGCTAATCGTGATAAGTACGTTTTAAGGTGAATAAGTAAATAATTTGTCATTTTTTCACTATGTAAAAATGTGAATAATTGCTTTTATTTATTTTTGCAATTCTGTATAAAGAATTCTTATTTAATACAGAGTAGTCTTTAATCCATCAAAGCAACGTGTAGAATTTATATCTGACTCGGGACGACAAATCGGACAAAAAGTTAAAATGTATTCAAAGAACAATTTTTTCATCCTAAAAAAAAAGGGTGAAAAGATTCAACAAGAATGGCTCATATATTCTCCAAGTTCAAATTATATAGACAATTTTAGGTGGTAAAACATGTTATTTGTTTTGCTATGTATATTATAAAAGATACATAAGTAAAAAGTCATTTTAGTACCTTTACATTGACACTCCTATTTGATAAGTTTAGTGCTACGAAATTTCGTGTATAAGAAAGGTTACGGGCTTCATAATAAACTGGTTTTACTACATTGTCCAGGGTACGAACTGATTTTGGAAGAACAGAATTCTTTTTTGGGAATGCAGATTAGTCAAACCTAAAGTTTTCTATATAGTTTAAAATTGTTTAACGTGTTGGTACCCGTCTTTTTTTCCTATGTTAAAATGACGACAAAAGAATCACTCTCCTCCATAACCAAGGGAACTCTAAAAAAAAAATCCTATTGCAGGAAATAAAAGTGATTAAATTAATTTCATATAGGTTTTGATTTTAAAATCTTTATTATGCTTATTTTTTGCTAGTAAATGTAGAAAAAAACTTGTATGGCTCTGATATATTTGTTTGGTTTTTTTTTATATAAAAACTGTATGAAAGTTGTAACATTTCAAAATTTTTTTATCCTAATACCAACGAATGGTTGCTGCAACTTAATCATAAATCATTTGTAGTTTTAATTAAGAACTATACAAAGTGGATTGTGTTAAAAATATAAAATTTTGAAAACGGTTTAAAGTTGATTTTTTAACAAATATAAAACCAAAGGAAATGTTGAAAAAAGGAATTTTTCGAGAACAATTGAAAATTGCTAAAGCTACACCTATTTATGAAGAGGGTTACTAATCCCAAATAACTAATTAATTAAAATTTAATCAATGTATTTGTTTGTTTTTTTTTCTCTCTCTCGATATATAATTTGCGTTTTCTATAAAAAAAAACCCAAAGGTTTCTTTTTTTCCATCATGATGACTCAGAAACTTATTTCAAATAATTAACTAATTACTACTTTTTGCAGTAATTATTTTTTTCATTGAAATGCAGAAGCAAATACATACAAAATCAATAGTTTAAAATAAAGTTCGTAACCTCTTACGAACTTTATTGTTAAACAGTCCTCCGGAAGAAAATGCCCGTTGAGCCTCGACACTTTTCGTTTCACCGTCATTAGAAATGAATAAAGTCTTTCTAAATAATCACCATGTGTACCATCATTTTCAAATAATGTCATTTCTTTTTGAATTTTTCATAACAATGTTTCATTTCTAACTGGTTGCATCGGTGATTGCGTTTCTTTAATTATACTATCAAGCTCCTCTTCAATACTTAAAGTGTTATTTTCAGTTTCAGGTTCTTGAATAAAATCCAGCATATCAGACTCAACTAATGCTCTTATTAAAACAGGATTGGAAGCGTTTAATCTTTTCAGCAATTCTACCAACAGTTTTCAACATAAATATAAAGAAGGCACTGTAACTATTTCTTCATCGACTTCAATTGAGCTTCAACCATTATGCAGATATTGCAGAAGTATACTCATATCAGTTCGGCGTTCATGTATACGAGCCATTAAAGTAGTACGTATTTCCTTGCTTGTGTTATTGTCAGCATCTTTTAATTTTGTAAGCATAAAATTAATAGCGATTTCAGCTGTAAATAGGTTAGGTATGTTATCAGCTGTAAATAGATTAATGTCAGCTGTAAATAGATTAATGTCAGCTGTAAATAGGTTAAAAATTAATATCAATGTCAGCTGTAAATAGGTTAGAATCTTGGCGAGAAAGTGCTTTAACCGTGGCTTTAATAGAAACTAAAGTTGTAATAATGTTTGATAATATTGTCAAATCATCATGCGACAGAGCTATAGAACTATCTTGCACTGAGTAAATATCAATTAATGGTTTTTGTATACAATTTTTTTCTTTATAAAATCGTTAAAGCATTAACAGAAGGCTGCTCCACCTTGTTTTGCAATCCATAATTAAAGTCCAAATTCAGCCTTAATATATTTTTTTAAGATGTCGTTGTTGGTAGATGATCGTCTAAATATTATGATCAACTTGCGTAGTTTTTTAATGACTGGTCCATAATTAGCTTCATTTAGTTCAATTTTAGATCTTAAAGTTTCATGATAGTAGCCCAGTAAATCTTCCTCAATATCCTCCTTTTCGGATGAATCACAGCCAAAAAATTCATTTTCAAATTTTGGCTGATTTGCATCAAATTCTCTTTTATTATAAAGAACATCAATTGCAGCAAGTTGTAGGCCGTATGCAAAACATAATTGTTGATTTGCAGTCATCAACCTTCTAACTTTTTTCATAACACTTGCTCCATTGGTCATAATGTCTCCGTGTAGATCAAGACAATGGTCTTTAAGTTTTTTTCTAATAGTTTAATGCATATTTCTGCACATTGACCCTGTTATTCGCACGAAACCCAAACTTCAAAACTGATAATTTTTTCTATGAACGTTAACATTCATATAGCGACGATTTCGAAGTGACGTCGATTAGTCAAAAGACAAAAAAAATTTCTCTCCTACCCTAAATTCTGTACTCTTAAGCGCTTTAATTTGCTGAACTAAACTTAATCTTACTTTTTTGCTGTACTCTACTACATGATTACGAATTGTGTTTACTGACGTTGGTAGATTTCTGAATCCCATAGCAGTTAGAGCGGCACGTAAATCTATTGAAGAGCAATTCACATTAAATGAAAGCCCGTCTGACGCCGTTAGACGAGCAAGTGTAGCGTGAGGGGTATTTTATCGTCCTTTTCAAAAGTCGAAAAGTATTCTGTTAGTTGTTTAGATTTCTTTTTTGGTGGTTTATCTGATGTACTTTCTCCGGTAATATTAGGTTGGGTTGGACTTTCGACCTTCACATTATGCACCGACAAAATGTGTGTTTAAGGTCCTTTTGTTGAACCACCACTTATTTTAAAAATCTTCTTGCAGTTTGGCACATCGCTGTTTGCCCTTCTTTCTCTCGTAGAAAATATTTCCAAACAGCTGAGTTACTTTTAATTGTAAAATCCTCGTACGCCATGCTTATTTAAGTTTTAATTTTGAATAAACCCTGTAAGAAAGAAGCGTTTTTTTTTTCAGTTCAAAAAAGTTTATTTTGCAGAATTACAGAACAGAATGCTGAAAATAGAATTACTTTCTGCGATATTAAACCAAATAAAAATTATTATATTGATGCGCATAAATTGTTATTATTTTTATATATTTTTTGATTTCCCCTTTGTTTTGCTTGATCGTATAGGGAATCCCGGGATTGATATTAGACAATCCCGAGATTTCGGGATTGTAAAAAAGGCCGGGATCCCGGGATTGCAAACCCTAATTATATTGCAAATATTTTTGTCAACCTTGCTTAATATACACGATTCACCGTGCAAAGGTGTGGTCAACTCATAACTAAACAAGTTATTGTGAAAATTTTTTTTTTATCACAGAGCACTGCGGAAGAGTATCTAGCTACGAAGTTCGCGCCTCCTTCCTTTCCAATGTCGCTTATTAGGCTAGAGCCGGCGTCGAACCAAGGACCTCACCTGGTTCTGAGCCAGAACTTTAACCACTGTGAAAATAGAAAAAAGTTGTAATTTGTATCGGATAGTAATACATAAAAAAATTATAAAAGTGATTGCATAAATCTTTTGGAACGTAATACGTTTTTATCAACTTTATTGTTGATAAAAATATTATCAGTTACTTATAACTACACATAACACAACATTTCTTGACAAATAACATAACATTTCTCGACACATAACGTGAAATTACTCAATAAACTTGCATAATTGCGATACCAACATGATATATTTATTTAAAATGTTAAATGTTTTTACGAAGCTTTTATTGAATTTAAAATACATTTTCTTTTCTTTTAAATATCTTAGGTGTAATTGTCAAAACTAAAAAAAAAAACTAAAGTTAACGAGGAATAAGTATGGCATACAAAATTATCGACCTACTATTGAGTAATGTTGATTACGTTTGCCAACTGATAAAAAAGTACTTTTAATATTTTAGAAAAGAGACGTAGTAAAGAGTTTGTGAGTGTTAATTCAAAAAATTAACATAATTTTGAATGTTTAATATAAGGAAAACCTGGAATATACAAGTTTAGAAAAAATATAACGGTAAAGTCATTAAGAAATGCTAAATTGATAGAAAGCTAGTCAACAAGAATAGTTTTTATGTAATACCTGAATTAATATTTTTTAAAAGGTCAGAATAGGTCAAAATGTTTTGAACGAATCTATTTAAAAAGCGCTTTATTTATTTATTCTTTTGGGGAGCGTCGCTGTAAGTTTGAAGTTTAAGCGCAAAAAAAAAAAACAAACAACTAAATTAACATATTATGATTAACTTTTTTTTTTTGTAATTTATCTCACTTTTTTTTTTAATATTCAAAACAATGAGATCTATGAACATCTAAGAGATCGTCCATAAGTCACGCAACGCTAAATTTATTTAAAAAACTGAAGTAGGAAATCTTAAGCTCTTTTACACGGCGATTTTCATTAAACTTTATGAGCTACTTAGATGTTTTACTTAAGGCGAGGGAAAACTTTTACTTAAGGCAAGGGAAAACTGCGAGGGAAAACTTTTGATCTATTTTGTTTTGTTTATTAGCGAAATTTAGCGTTGCGTAATCTATGAACTTTCTCTAAGGATTTATTCACAACTTCTTTGAAAATAATTCTTATATAAATAAAAAGCATTTATAGTGTAATAAAAAGTGTCATTTTTCTAGACATAGAGAGCAACATTCTTCTTAAATGTTGTTTAAAAAGTTTTTGGATTGTAAATTGGTTGTATTTATAAACCGGGCGGCTCGTCACTTTACTATATTAATTTCTCTAACTCATTTTTTCTCCTTTAAGACTAGAAGCAAGTTTCTTTACAAATAAAATTTACTTACAGCTAAAAGTCAATTGTTCCTAAATAATTTTAAAAACACTGGAGTATGCGCAAACTTGTTTAAGTTGTATTAAGTGCAATGTTAACTGACATAATTGCGCACGTGGAATAAAGAATTTCGTACATGGAATAAAGACGTTTATTTTAAATACAAAAGTTATGACTCGATATAGCAATTTAATTAATTTTTAAATTTACAATATTAAACTAGATTTAAATAAAACAGAATCACAACACTCAAGTTGGATTACTAAAAACAAATGCGACAAAGGTATTGGGTACAAAAGTATCGTTCCAGGTACTAGGTATTGAGAAGCTTAGCTTTACAATGTAAACTAATTTTGACTTTATAAATCTAATGCGACTTTAACTAACACAGTTGAAAATATAATTATATCTGCTTCTTTTATTGTCGTTATAAGTGACATCTGCTCAATGAACTAAAAAACAAAAACAAACTGTTTAACCAGAATAAATAATTACAGGATAATATCTGAGAGTAACTTTTAATATAAATTTTCAAATAAAACGATATTAAACAATAATAAAGTTGCCAGTCTATCTGATTAAATCTTTAATTTTTACTTACGCTATCGCTTGACTCTGAGTCAACAATATAGGCCGCGGCGACAATAATAGAAGTTGCCAGAAGAAAGCTATCATTAGCTAGCTTTGTATCAATCTCTACGCCAGTTGCGTTTCCTAATAATTTATAAATAACATCTCGCTCTATGTAAACAACATCTAAGAGCTTCACCGTAACATCATGAATAACAGTTGCAGGCAACCCGGGGCAGTTCCGACCTAGACCAATGATTTTTTGGTTATAAAAAATTTACAAAAATTGTTTTAAAATGTATATTGTAAATAGGACAGTACCGAGTGACGTATAAAATTAAATTATTCTGAATATAAAATTAAGTTAATCTAAAAAAAAATTTCTCACGCAAAACTTCTAGCAGCATTTCAACATATGTCAATGGAGATATAAACGGCAGCCGAAAGTCTAATGTTTTTAAAACTCGCATTTCTGATCGTATAACACATTCAATAGAAAAATGTAAGTCAGAATTTGTCAAAAAGTTCTTTACTTTTAAAGGAGACAAAGCCTAATGCAACAAAAGTATATACATTTCAATAAAATTATTAAAAAAAAAAACGAAAAAAATATTTTACATGAGCAACATTATAAGCAAAAATAAAATAAAAACCTTGTAATTAGATACAATTTTACTGGCTATTTGTACACAAGAAATTGCTCTTAGTGGTATTTGATCAATGACTCGTCGTTCAACAGAAGCCCAATCAACTTTTTTATTGCTGCTGGAAGAGCTGCTAATTACTTCTTGAAGCTGCGTAATGTGCTTTGACATAAACCTTGTAAAATACCGCACGAATAAATATTATGTAAATATATTATGTATGTATGTATTTATGTATGTATATATATATGTGTGTGTGTGTGTGTCTGTGTGTGTATGTGTGTGTGTATATAAATGTATATGTGAATATAAATGTATACATATCTGCATAACAACAAAAATAATTATCTATATTTCTAAACCGTTTTTCTAAATCGCTCAAATTATCTGAATTTAAAGATATCTATACAAAATAACTTGAATAAAAAACTGTTAAGATGGGTCTATTACTGAAATAAGTAACTTACTTATCAAACACTTCAACTGCAAGATACCGCACTTCAACAGGCATACCTAACTTCTTACATATATTGAACACAAGCACTAAATTTTAAACAATAAACATTCTTACAACTTCTAAAGAATTTTTTGATTTTGTTTTTAAACAAATATCCTTCTCTGACAACACTATTTTAGGTAAGTTTATATATGGAGTTAAGTTTGTGTAATACTTATTTTTATTTATTATTACTATTTATGTATACTTTGATCATACAATATGAGTTGAAATGCAAAAAAAAAAGGTTAGGTAAAGATTTCAGACGTTATTATAAATAGTTATTAAAAAGTTAAATGATAATCTTTGCATAACTTTAACTAAAATTTATTTTCCTGTAGTGGACTGGTAAAATTTATCAAACGCTTCCTTTGTTACAAATTTTTATGTTATAGTGATTGAAATGTGCTAAAAATCTACAATCCTCTTTAAGTATTACAATTTGAACTTTAGTTGAATAAGATAATGCTAAATGAGGTTTAATCAAAAAAAGGTTCAATCAAAAAGAAGTTCAGTCAAAAAATTTGATTTGCAGCTCAGGCAGTTCAAATTTCAAAAATTTTTAAAATCGCTCCACCCTACTCTCGAGTCCTTAACAAAAAGAGAGGGGTTGGGGGTGTGAAGACGTATATTAATTTTGGGAAAATTTTCCCACCTACCCCAAGCTTATTAAGACCCACTGGTTTATTAATTTTTATTTGTTATCAACAAAACTAGGCAAAGACTTAAGGGGTAAACAGATTCTATCTGTTGACTGGCCTCGCACCCCTTCTCCATCTATTAGGCTGGCGCAGATGTATTTTTTTTTTTTTTTTTTTTTTTTTTTAAACATCTTCACTTCCAACAAGGCTGCAAGCAACCACTATAAGAGTTGGAAGTTACTGGAAGAGAAAAGACTAAATCTGTAGAGCAAGATAACGATTGACTGATGACTTAAAAGATTTAATACATTGTTTCCAGTTTAGGATGTTGAACACTGGATCTTCTTGACTCGATGCATGGGTTTTGCTTGTGTCTCTGTTTTTATAACTAGGCAACTCATTCTATTATCTCCAAATGAGGGTACAGCTCTAGAACTCAGTTTTATGGTTCTGAGGCCGGCTGGTAGTCAGATTTCCCGAACTCTGTGGTAGCTCTCAGAGAGGCTGATTCCATCAACAGCTGAAAAATATCAGAGTACTAACAGAGCCATGTTGCGCATGAATGGTGTCTCTGTTTGTACTTTTGGTGTGCATTGCCAAGGCCACATTGGAGCCCTTTGTTATGGCTTAAGGTTTATTAGTGGAAATAAGGCAATTGCTTGGGCTATAAAACAGTGTACTGAGTACTATCTATGTTTTGAGTCAAGTTCTTTAACAAATTTAAAAATGAATAAAGTAATAAAAACTATAAAACACAAACAAACCACAGTCATCACCAAGTTTGCTAAACCTATCATTCACCAATATTCGTGGTCTTCGAAGTAACTTTTCTTCTGTTGAGTCTTATCTTTTGCAAAGTTCACCAGACCTACTTGCTCTTTATGAGACTAATTTGAGTTCAGCTGTCTCATCTTGTGATCTTAGTGTTGATGGTTATCTTCCTTTAATTCGTAAAGACTCCAATAGTCACATGCTTGGCCTAGGCATTTACATTCGTAAGAATTCACCCATTTGTCGGGAAACTAGGTTTGAATCCACAGACTACTCTTTTATGTGCTTTCGTTTAGCACCACTTCACTCTATCATCTTTTTCTTTGTTCTATATTGCTCTCCTTCATCTCAAGACTGCATTCTTCTTGATGTTATTTCTGATTCTATTGACCAAGCCCTCATTCTTTATCCATCAGCCAATATTGTTGTTGTCGATGACTTTAATGTTCATCACACTGAATGGCTTGGCTCTGTGTCAGTGACTCCGCAGGCATTAAGGCACAACTTTTGTCTTTCTCAATCCCTAACTCAAATAGTCAACTTTCCAACTCGCTTTCCAGACAACCCGAATCATTTACCTTCTCTACTTGACTTGTTGTCTTGTTTCTAATCCTAGTCAGTGCTCAGTTTCTCCACACTCACCCTTAGGTGAGTGTGGAGAAACTGAACCTAATTCTGATCATGGTTTGGTCTCTCTAAAACTATTATCTCATTCTTCTTTACCATCAGAATCCCCCTATTATTGCACATCTTACAACTACCTTAAAGCTGACTGGGACTCTTTCCGTGATTTTCTTCGTGATGGCTCCTAGGTAGAAATCTTTCGTCTTCCTGTTGACAAATGTGCTTCTTACATAACTTTGTGGATTCAGGCTAGCATGGAATCCTTTATTCCTTCTCAACAATTCCAGGTCAAGCCTCACTCTTCTCCATGGTTTTCCTCACATTGTGCGGCTGCAATTGCCAATCGAAACCATTACTTCCATATCTATCAGCAAAACAATTCTCCAGAAAACAGACGTCTGTTTATTACTGCTAGGAACCATTGTAAAAAGGTTTTGTTTAACGCCAAAGCCTGCTATTCTCAGATCATGAAGTCTCGTATTTCATCACAAAAATTAGGCTCTCGTGACTTCTGGAGAATTTTTAATAGTATCAATAATAAGGGCAAGTCTGTAATTCCACCTCTTTTGTACGGTTCAGACTTTGTCACCTCACCTAAAGACAAAGCTGAATTGTTTGCCAAGAACTTTTCATCAATATCATCTCTTGATTCCACTAGTTGCGTTCTACCTGATATAGCCGTCAAACAGGTTGATCCACTGCTTGACATCCGTATCACTCCAGCTTCTGTATCTAAAGTGATTTCCTGCTTAGACTCTTCTACAGCTTGCGGCCCAGACAACATACCTGTTATAGTCTTGCAGAAGTGTACTCCGGAGCTGTTGTCTATCCTTTCAAAACTATTCAACAAGTGCTTATCAGAGTCTTGTTTTCCAGCCTGCTGGAAAGCAGCATCTGTTATCTCTATTTTAAAAAATTCTGGAGAGCGATCCGATTTGTCTAACTACCGTCCCATTAGTCTTCTTCCTATCATAAGCAAGGTTTTTGAATCTTTAATTAACAAACACTTAATCTCGAATCTCATAACCTACTTTCTGATGATCAATATGGATTTCGATCTTCTCGTTCTACGGCTGATTTGCTAACAGTAATAACCAATAGGTTTTATCGTGCATTAGATAAAGGTGAAGAGGTTAAGGCCATCGCTCTTGACATTTCTAAGACGTTTGATAAAGTTTGGCATGCTGGTCTTCTCCATAAGCTTTCTTCTTACGGTGTATCTGGAAACATCTTTAAGATCATTGAATCCTTCCTTTCTAATCGTAGTATAAAAGTTGTCCTCGATGAACAGCACTCTTCTTCTTATTCTGTAACCTCAGGGGTTCCTCAAGGTTCAATCCTTGGCCCAATACTCTTTTTAATTTACATTAACGATCTTCCCGATATTCTCACATCTAAGGTGGCATTGTTCGCTGATGATACTACCATTTATTCTTGTCACGATAAAAAGCCAACTTCCTCCGATTGCTTGCAAGGGGCATCTGAGCTTGAAAAGGATCTCATTTCTGCTACAGCATGGGGCTCACAGTGGCTGGTGAACTTTAATTCAGATAAAACTCAATTTTTTTCAGCCAATCATTATCGCAATAATTTAGACCTTCCTATTTTTATGAACGGTAATGTACTCGATGAGTCTCCTAACCTTCATCTTCTAGGATTAACTCTTACTTCTGATCTTTCTTGGAAACCTTATATCAAATCCGTGGCAAAATTAGCATCTGCTAAAGTTGCTTCTCTTTATCGAGCTCGACACTTTCTCACTCTGGATTCTATTCTCTATAAATCTCAAATCCAGCCTTGTATTGAATACTGTTGCCATATCTGGGGCGGATCTTCTAATGATGCCCTTTCTCTTTTAGACAATGAGCAAAAACGTATTGTAAACATAGTTGGACCTGCTCTTGCAGCCAACCTTCAACCTCTGTCACATTGTCGTAGTATTGCTTCTTTTTCTCTTTTCTATAAATACTATAATAGGCACTGCTCTAAAGAGCTAGCGTCTCTTGTGCCATCTACTAAAATTAATTCTTGTGTTACTCATCATTCAATAAAGTCTCATTCTTTTTTTGTTACTGTTCCTAAGTGCTCCAAAAACTCTTATTCGTCTAGTTTTTTTCCTCGAACATCAGTTCTTTGGAATTCGCTTCCTTCATCTTGCTTTCCTGATTCATATAATTTGCAATCTTTTAAGTCGTCTGTCAATCGTTATCTTGCTCTACAATCTTCATCTTTTCTCTTCCAGTAACTTCTAACACTAATTAGTGGTTGCTTGCAGCCTTGTTGGAAGCGAAGATGTTAAAAAAAAATTTAAAAAAAAAAAAAAAAAATCAGCGAAAATCAGCCTTAAAAATTAGAAAATAATTATTTTAGTCACTAATAAAAAAAAAAAAAACTTTCAGTGTAAACAAGCTTTAAAAATCGCTGACCAAGTAAATCTTGATTTATCGAAAATGAGCAGTTGGTTTGTTTCTCACAAAAGTATAAAACTCATAAATGCGCATTTGACTGCAAATCATGCTAGAATTAAATAGTTTTATGCATGTTTTGTAAAAAACATAAATTTGGATTTATAAACTGACATTTTTTATAAAAATACTTATATAGTAACATAAAAAAATTCCCACCCATACTCCTTTAATTTAAACCGGTTTACTAAAAATTTTAATAAACCGCTTATTACATCTGGACTAAAATCCCCTTCCCCCACCTTGTATTATGGACTTGAGAGTATTGAAATGTAAAAAAGTTTCACACTAAAAAAAAGATAACTAAGCAACTTTTAACACAAGCTCTAACGGCAATTCCTAGTCCAAGTCACAAGTCCTAGTAAAAATGCTATAAAATTAATTTTCTAATAAACAAGAGATCTAAAATTAATTAATTACTTTCTAATGCTGAAAAGACAAAAAATTCTGAAATGGAAAAAAAACATAAAAAAAAATCTTAACAGTAAAAAAAAAAAATTGTTGCAAACACTAGAATATTACTATAATATTACAAAAATAATTTTTAATAATTTATAATAGACTAATAATTTTTTGAATAATTCATAATTTTTTATTGTTTACCAATAAAATGATGCTCATACCAGCAGCTTTTGCAGTTTTAAATTTTCCCTCGTCTTTTGTTGCTTCATTGACAAATCGTTGAGCATTCTCTGCAAGACTTTTTAAACAATCTTCCAACAACTCTGTGCTTGCATACAATTCTGCTAAACTATAAAAAGTTTCTGAAGGCGATGCTTTGGAAGTGTTTGTAGAAGTCATCAATATTTTATTATAGCGTAAAATTGATCAGCTGAATTTAATTTCATTATGAGCTTGCAAACGTACAAAAACAATTTATAAAAATAAAAAAATAAAAAAAACTTTAAAATGATAATTGGTAAAAAAATAATTTAAAAAGCAACATCAGTTGTTTGTTGTCTGTTATGATGTTGCTATTAGCAACTGGTATATTTACAATTAGTATTCAACTTAAAATTTAACATTACTTTGTACTAAAAACGTATATCACCACTTTTATTTTTAAATCTTATAAGAAATGATTTGACTTCAATAATCCATAAGATTTTTTTATTTATAGCTTTATTTTTAACATGCATGAATGAATGAATGACCTCTTTGATAAAAAATTTTAGAACTGCATCTTTCAGTTAATAATTTAATAAGTCATTCAATAGTAACTTCATTTATAAATTTTATTTATATTTGCAAACAAATTTTTTTATGTTGCAAAAATTATTTGTTCTTAAGTGTTATGTTTGTAAATGTTTTTTACTATCAAGTTGATTCAAAATGATGTTTTACAGACCAAAAAATATTTGTAAACCATTTTATGTGCATTTACTGTTAACTTGTATATACTTAGCAAAATAAATAATAATAATAAAAATCATGTATAAACCTGCATTTTTACATATAAACCAAGTCGCAGAAAAATAAATCCTCAGAAATATCACATAAATATATACATACATAAATATTTATAGAAATATAAATACTAAATATATATAAAAACATTTCATAAATCTTACAGCCAGCTTTTTAGTTTAAAAAAAATCTACTTCTTCCTCGCAAGAATCTTCATTAGGCGCACACTAAAAAATAATTTTGCAAAACTAATTAAGAATAAAAAATTTATCAATAATCAAATTTAAAATTGTTTAAAAATATAAGATATTCTACAAAGCATACGAGATATTCTAGAAAACATACAAGATATTCTACAAAGCATATTTGCCCAACTTCATTCAAAATCATGTACTGTAGAGACAAAAAACCACGACTATCCATACGTATTGACAATTTACTTGAGACAGACAAAGCTTTTATTGAAGGCTTCATTAATGATGTTTTGTATCTTAATTAAATAAAAAAATTTAAAAACTATATCTTTGTTTCATACTAATTCATTTAATTAACTAATAAATAATTAACTAATATTTATTTATATGCATAATTGTTATTTATTTATGATATATACAAGATACATATATATAACTGTAAAATTTATTTGTATTCTACATATGTATTTATATATCACCTAAATAAAATTTAAGGGAGTAAAATATAATAGGTAAATACCATCTGGTCAGTAAAATATAATAGGTAAATACCTTCTAGTCAGTAAAATATAATAGGTAAATACCATCTGGTTGACGTATAATTATTTATATAAAAAAATAAATTCCGTAAATAATAAAAATTGTAACTGTTATTAACAAAAATATATATATATATATATATATATCACACAAAAAATATGTGAAATATAGTGTTTACACTATATTTCGCATATTTTTTAAAAAAATAAACTCATATGTAATCCAACTCTTTTGACTTTTAATTTGTTTGTTAAATAAATTTAAATTTATCATCTATCAACTAAAAACTGATAGAATAAAATAACTTAATATGAAGAGTTTTAGTCAATGTAAATTATAATATTTTTTTTCAGACTCCAACAAAATATTGATATTAGTTGGGGGAGGTGACAGAGTTGGGGGAGATTGCAGTTGGAGGAGAGATTAGAAAAACCATTCTTTTCAAAAATTTGAATCTTGAAATTTTAAAAAATCTCAGCCTTATGTAAGCCATTGACTATGATACATAGAAATTTATGTTATATTGAAATTTCTGATATATATGTATACTCAATATATAGAAATTTATGATAAAACAATTATTTGTATCAAAAGACTAACCGAGCTGTCCAGTCCAAGTTAAGTAAAAAAAAAAAAAAAAAAAAATTGAAAATGGGTAGTATATAGTATATTAAAATAATAAAAATTTGTTGAAAAAAATAAATACACCATAGTAAAGCATGTAAAAAAAGTAATAATTACATGAAAGCAACAAGCACAAAATAAAAACCAAATAGAATAACATTTATGCTAAAAGCAAATGAGCTAAAACCTAATCGCTAAAGATAATTTATCTTTTAGATTTAGAAAGTACATAAATGAGAAAAACGAGAAAATGCAAAGAGAGATAAAAATGTAAGTACAAAAAATATAATAAATATAATGCTAGCATTTAAATCTGATAGGGGTAATAACAAAGCTCAACAAATTATAACATTGAAAATAACTATGATGATAGTAACATTAAATACAACCATGGAGATAGTAATATTGAATACAACCATGGTGATAGTAACATTGAATATAACCATCGTGATAGTAACATTGAATATAACCATATGACAATCCTATAGTAAAAACAACTGTGATGGTATCACAGTTATTTGTCAGGTCAGGTCTATGATCATCATGATCAACCTGCTAGTGGTAACATGTAATCTAGTGCAACCTGTTACATATTGTGCTGTCTGAATTTGCTCAGCAAAGGCTTGAAGAAATAAGCTTTCTTTTTTATCAACATTAACTAATATTTGTCATGTCTATAGTGATACCAACTTTATCTGTTATACAGTTAGAAGAGTATATGTATGCGCACTGTCTGAACCTCTGGTCCAGTGTTCACTCACCCATAAGTTACTATATCTATATTTTTGTTCAGTTTGAACATATGACACATTTTTGCTCACCCATAAGTAATAATATGTATTTTTAATAATATGTATTCTGTTTGAAACTCTGGTAAAGTGTTAGCTCAGTTACCATTTAGTGACTACAACTACATAAAATACTTTTTCTCAACTCTTTTATTCTTGACTTATCTATATATCAGAGTGATTTTTTTTAAAATTGATTTCGCACACCCTCTTATTTGGCGAGGTTCAATAAAAAAATTTCACAGATAATTTTTTTGCAAACTTATGATGGGAACTGGTCCCCCACACTTGGGTTGTAACCCCTTTTGAATCCCGTTTTTGTCTAAAATGACATAGTTCTAAAATGTATTAAAATCAGTTAGTGTCAGTGTTACATTTACCAGTTTTACTTATTAGGGTTATAAAAATTATGAGAATGTATACAGCAATAACCCATTCCCAGACTCCACCTTAGATATGATAGGTCCACTGATCTCTATAATAACTGGATAGCGCATCTCTATTATCAAAAGTGAAGCCAATTTTTTGCACGGCCGCCATATTGGAAAGACCCAGAATACCGAAAATACAGTGATTGCGCTTGAAGATGTACCTTTTTACTTCGTTTATATCTACTCGACCAAGTCACATATTTCAATGATATTATTGTATTTAAAATGTTTGAAGGTGTAAAAATTATAAAAGGGAATCAAAAACACGCAAAACATTAACGACGAAGAGAAATATTGCTATAAAGAAATAATAAAATTTGTATTGCTTTCTATAAACTTGTTAAATTTATTGAATTTATGATATTCTAAATAAAAATTTTCTGAAAGACAAATTGATATTTAATCTGGTTACTTTTGGGTGTTTATTTTAACAACTTGATGCGACCTTACTTATCAATAGCAGCTGGAAAGTAACTTTACAAGTATAAAACATGATAAAAACATTGTATCAAACATTTTTGTAAATGGTTTTCTAATTTTTGAGACTCCGAGGACATGTTTATATTGTTCCATAACTGATATATCATCAACTATGCAATACTCTATTAAAATTGATATCCATAATAACAATGTTTTGTTCTGTTGCTTTGCTAACTTTAATTATACTTTGTGAAGGTTTGACAAAGCCATCTCTAACTTTAAAAAACACTAGATATTTGGTGATAACTAGTTATTTGCAGTTTTACATTAAAGTGTTTAGTATTTTAGGCTAAATAACAGTATTGCATACATGTTGATTGTGTATATGTAAATATGGTATAAATGAAAACAGAAATAGTTCCTTTCAAGTTTTTTTAAAACTATCGACTCTAAAGTAAAATAATAATGATTCAGCTAACATCTATCAGTTTTATACTGATAGATATTAGTTGTGTAATTAATAAATATTAAAAATATTTCTTGTGAAAACAAATAAGCGACATAAAAGACCAAAATGAAAGGTGAAAATTTTTTTTTTCTAAGTGTACATACGCTTTTACTTTTCCCTACCTCATAATACCTTTTTATTCAATGTTTGTTTTGTTATTCAATGCTTATACAAGTTATTCAATGATTATTTTGTTCAAGATGATAGAGCTAACTATTATTTTATTTGTAGTTTTTTACTTTAACATATTCTTTTGTAATTGCAATATCTATACAAATGTTCTAGTGTTGTGAAAATGTCTAATGGCATTTACAAAAATGTCTTGAAAGTAATTTTCGACAATTAAGCGTTAAGTTAATCTATATATATATATATATATATATATATATATATATATATATATATATATATATATATATATATATATATATATATATATATATATACACACACACACACACAAAACAATTATTAAAAGTCAATATAACGATTTGCTATATGTTGCCTAAGGAACCTTTAAGTTGTATTACAATCATATTGCCTAACTAATGATTCATACAGCAAACTTGTAAGCTGTTTACCTTGCAAATATGTTACAAGCCTCAGGCATTTTGCAGAGGGCAGTTAAGAATCAAAAGGTGCATACTAATATACACTTGGATGCTATTATAATAATATTATACCAGGGTGGCCAGCCAACTGGAAATCATGAAAAAGTCATAGAATTTTTTTCTAGTCAGGGAAATCAGGGAAAAATGTATTTTTTGAAAATTTAATTTTTTTTAAAGTTTTTTTTTTTACTTACTCCCAAACAACAAAACCTAAAAATTCACACTTTAAAATATAACTGAGTCAGGGAAAAATATAAAAAGTCATGGAATTTAATTGTTGAAATTGGCTGGCCACCCTCCATACATAATTTATATATATATATATATATATATATATATATATATATATATATATATATATATATATATATATATATATATATATATATATATATATATATATATATATATATATATATATATATATATATATATATATATATATATATATATATATATATATATATATTTATGTCACTCTCCATGAAATAATCTGAACATATAACATCAGATTTACTCGGTTTTTAATAATCAATGCATTTATAAGGTTTTTGCATTTTTTATTTATCAAGCGAAATCTGAGTTTTAAGCGCATTTAAGTTTAACGCAACTACGCATTTATAAATTCTGGGGCTTTCCAATATGGCGTCTTTTGGCTTCAAAAATTTTGAAATTTTATTAGGAGATGCGCTATCCAGTTATTATAGAGATCAGTGGATAGGTCCCAGACCTGTTTTTTAAGCTCTTTTGAGACCCGTCTAAATTAATATATTTCTGAAATCTATTAAATTCAGGTTGTGCCAGTGTTACATGCACCAGATTTACCTTTTTTTTTTTTTTTTTCAACATCTTAGCTTCCAACAAGGCTGCAAGCAACTACTAATTAGTGTTGGAAGTTACTGGAAGAGAAAAGATGAAGATTGTAGAGCAAGATAACGATTGACAGACGACTTAAAAGATTGCAAATTATATGAAGGAAGCGAATTCCAAAGAACTGATGTTTGAGGAAAAAAACTAGACGAATAAGAGTTTTTGGAGCACTTAAGAACAGTAACAGAAAAAGGATGAGACTTGATTGAATGACGAGTAACACGAGAATGAATTTTTGTAGATGGCACAAGAGACGCTAGCTCTTTAGAGCAGTGCCCATTGTAGTATTTGTAGAAAAGAGAAAGAGAAGCAACATTATGACGATGTGACAGAGGTTGAAGGTTGGCTGCAAGAGTAAGTCCAACTATGTTTACAATGCGTTTTTGCACCTTGTCTAAAAGAGAAAGGGCATCATTAGAAGATCCGCCCCAGATATGGCAACAGTATTCCATACAAGGCTGGATTTGAGATTTATAGAGATAGAGAATAGAATCCAGAGTGAGAAAGTGTCGAGCTCGATAAAGAGAAGCAAATTTAGCAGATGCTAATTTTGCAACGGATTTGATATAAGGTTTCCAAGAAAGATCAGAAGTAGGAGTTAATCCTAGAAGATGAAGGGTAGGAGACTCATCGAGTACATTACCGTTCATTACAAGATCTAAATTATTGCGATAACGATTGGCTGAAAAAAATTGAGTTTTATCTGAATTAAAGTTCACCAGCCACTGTGAGCCCCATGCTGTAGCAGAAATGAGATTCTTTTCAAGCTCAGATGCCCCTTGCAAGCAATCAGAGGGAGTTGGCTTCTTATCGTGACAAGAATAAATAGTAGTATCATCAGCGAACAATGCCACCTTAGATGTGAGAAAATCTGGAAGATCGTTAATGTAAATTAAAAAGAGTGTAGGGCCAAGGATTAAACCTTGAGGAACCCCTGAGGTTACAGAATAAGAAGAAGAGTGCTGTCCATCGAGGACAACTTTAATACTACGATTGGAAAGGAAGGATTTGATAATCTTAAAGATGTTTCCAGATACACCGTAAGAAGAAAGCTTATGGAGAAGACCAGCATGCCAAACTTTATCAAACGCCTTAGAAATGTCAAGAGCGATGGCCTTAACCTCTCCACCTTTATCTAATGCGCGATAAAACCTATTGGTTATTACTGTTAGTAAATCAGCCGTAGAACGAGAAGATTGAAATCCATATTGATCATCAGAAAGTAGGTTATGAGATTTGAGATTCGAGATTAAGTGTTTATTAATTAAAGATTCACATGTTGCTTAAGCTCTTTTGAGACCCGTTTTTTTCAAAATGATAAATTTCTGAAATGTATTAAAACAAACTATTGCCAGTGTTACTATCATCAGTTTTTTTATGAGGGTGACGACAAGTGTATGTTGTCACCCTAATAGGTAATATTGATGAATGTATATAGCGGGGGTAACTTGGAGCAAGGGGAATGGGGTAAAGATACAAAAAGGTCCTTTTTTTAACATTTCTTTAGTTTTTTCAACTGTGGGTACCAGTGGCCCATATACCCTAAATGGTGTCTATCTACCGGCCGTTTCTACTCAGCCATAATTGAAATTTATAAATTTAAAAATAAAAAATATTGTACTCAAATGAAACTTTTAAAAGAATTAAAAATTTTCTTATGCATTTAAGAAAACATATTACAAATAACAAATTTTAAAATTATTTGGATGAGATAACATACATAATTTAATCAAACCTTAACATAAACTATAACTAAATTAAAATATAACAGAAAAACAATAGATATATATCAACATTATTATTATAATGTATTTAACTATATATTTAGTGCATATTATATGTATATATATGATTTGAATAGAATAAATTGTTGTTATTTGGAATGATTATGGCTTAACTGTTTCTTTGTAGCTTCAGTTGAAAAATATTTTCTATGATACCCAACTATTTGGAAGAGAAGCTGACTTTGATTATCATTTTTTGTCAAAACTTCATTAAAATCAGTGGCTAATTTAACTGCCCGTTCTGGACAGCTATTAACCACTTTTATGGCATGAACTATCTTTTAAGAAGACTTGTAGTCATCATGATTAGCCCAAGTTTTAGGAGACAATGTCAAGAATTCTTTTGGTAGATTGAGTGAGTCAAACAAATTCATTGAGCATTGTGTAGCAAAGTTAGCTATAGAAAGTTTAGAGAATGTATAAATATTGTTTGAAGCAAGTCTTCTTCTATTGTCATTGGTAATGGTTCTTTTTGTAAGACATTTACAATTTCCATTTTCTCTTTAACAGAAATTTTATCACTGAATAATGGGAGAGCAGCTAGATCTTATAGATCTAGATCTATAAGAACCAATTTAACTGATCTTCACTTAAATACTATAACTCAAGTTTAATTTTATTTTTTGCAACAAAAGCAACTTTGCTGTCAACTTGACCATAGTTCTCGATTACTTTTAAAGAGAGAGAGGTGAGAGGTGTTGAAAACCAGAAACATGCATAAATTGTGGTTATGAAGAGGCATATTCTTTTTAAAATCTCAATATCTTTCTCTATGATATTTAACTGATGACAAAAACCAAAAATTTTTAAACAGTATGAACCTTTAGCCATCCGTCTTGCACAATGGTAAACCCCAGGAATGTAAATAGTTATTGTATCATTATTTTCTCCCAAAAGGAGAAGAGCTAGTCTTCGGAATTCTTTATAAACATCACGTGGTTACATTTCCTTTAAATATTTTTTGAAATTTTCTACCACATTACATTTTCAAGATACAAGCAATTCTTTTTCAAACTTTGTAAGGTTCCGCTTTGTAAGGTTCCGCTTTGTTCCAGTTCCGCATTTATAACTTTCAAGAGGTTTAAACTTTGAATTTTCTCTCCGACTTCACTCTACCAAAAAGTTCAATGTTTAATCTTTTTGATACAAAAAACACAACAAAATCTGCATTTGCACAGATTTTTGCAAAAATATGATGTCGACCATTATGACTTCCTGTATTACTTGCAGTTGTATCAAAGGAAAGACCTGCAAGATGCTCCTCAACGCCAAGCCATTCATGAATGAACTCAAATATTTTTTTTCCCATTAGAGCGCCAGTACCAGCAGGTATCTCAGGGATCCCTAATAATTTCTTAATATCCAAACCAGATACAACAATCGGCAGACATTCACGTCTGGTTCTAATAACATTTGACAACATTTTACCATCATAAACCAGGGAGATGTGATAATGAATCAGATTGTAGATAATGTTATTCAGTATGATTCAGTAATGAATGTAAAGAGTATTTAGAAGGAGGAATAAAATTTCCTGACTTAGTGGGAGGGGTGACCATAACTCACGCTCTAGTCATCCTTAGCAAATGAAAAAAAAAGTTAGCAAGTCTAAATAAATCCGCTGGAGTAATAATAAAACACGTGGTTAAAAATATCGATAATATATGGATATGGATGTATATGTATCCATATGAATGTGAGTATCCTTATGGATACACACATCCGTATAAATATGGATGTGTGTATCCATATAAATATGGATGTGTGTATCCATATAAATATGGATGTGTGTATCCATAAAGTTAAGTTTGACTTAACTATTTACTTAGTTGCTTAAATATACTTAATATGCACATTTACTTGCAAAAGTAAGCCATGTTTCTATTACATTTTTATTTTTTTATCTTATTTATTGTAAACACATAGAAAGTTTCTAGCTAAATTTTTTTTTTTTTTAATTAACTTTTTTTTTTTTAATTAAACACAATACCATTTTTTTTTAAATATTTTTATTTTATTTATAGCAATATCAAGATCCAATATTTTTTAGAAATATGCAAGTTTTTTTTTTTTAAATAGTTTTAAAAGTAGAAACATTTATTGCAAACATTAAACAAGTGAAATAAAAACTAAATTATAGATGAATTAAAATAAAAAAAAAATAAACTATTCTAATTAATTTCAAAAAATATATATATATATATATTTTTTAAATCTGAAATAAAAATATATACTTGACTTATACTTATAAAAACTTAACTTGCTTTATTAATCCAATTTTTTTTATTCTATATTTTATTGAAAACAATAAAATAAAAAATAAAAAAAAATTGAATGAAAACATTATCTTAAAAACCCTTAAAACGAAAAAAAAAAAAAATGGAATTAAATATCTAATAGTATGCTAGTCCAAGAAGCAATAAAAAGAGCCTAGAATCTAATAAGATTAAGATTTTTTTAGAGTTTATTCATTGTTTTTTATTTTTAATTGCTTGGTCTATATCTACCGTAATTGTTTGTGCGAAAATATGTTTAATGTTTTATGATGATAATATTTTTGTCAATTTTTTAAACAGTTTTTTATATCTATTTAAAGTATTTAATCTATTCAAAGTGGTTTAAATATTGTAATACTTGCATTTTTACTTTTACTTTTTTTAAGTGTTATGTATTAAGTAACAATTAATTACTTTTTTTAAGTGTTATGTATTAAGTAACAATTAATTACTTTTTTTAAGTGTTATGTATTAAGTAACAATTACTAAAAGTATTATTGTAGCAATAATAAATACGTTTCTTTCACATTACATTACAACAGCAACTTAAACTTTTTAATTATAACTTGAGCTGTAAACAAAACTATTAAATATTATTCTGTAAATAAGACAAAATATTAACCTGCCTGCTACTTTGTGTCTGTTGACATTCAAAAGTCTCAATCATTTCAGAATCTCTGGGATAATCCACCTTTAAAAATTAATTTATATTTTCAATTTATGAATAAAAGACATTCATAATGAAACATAAAATTATTTAAGATGTGCCGAGGGTGAAGGGTAAGAAAAAGAAAGAGAATAAAAAAAAGTGAACAATATATTCAAGTTGTTGACTACTTGTATCAACACTAAAAATTATCTATAAAGCATACAAGTTGTGTTTGCAATTAATTATGTTAACTTATATCATATTTTACAAGTTAAAAAAAACTTGTTTCTTTGTACAGCATCCTTTTTCGCCAAGGTTTGTGTTTTCAGAGTCAGACAGGGTTGTAACAACAATTGAAAATTGAAAAGTAAAAAAAAAAAAGAGCTGCCTGCCTCAATGCCTCAAGTAATTGCCTTAGTAAAAAAACAAAAAGTTTCAAAATAAAATTAAAAAAATATTTATATTTATACATATTTATATACATATATGCTTGCAGAGATTAAATAATAAAAAAAAAAAATTTTTTTTTCTATAATAAAAAATGTTGTTCATATGATTGCACTTTAACTCAAACCCTTGGAAAAATACAAATTGAGGCCTGTAAATACAGGGGGTAGATTTGAACATTGTATTCTTGCATATTACTAAAGCAATATCACATAAAGATAAATTAAAAAAGCATATTGCATTTGAGATAATTTAATAAATTTAAAATTTAGTTATCAGTATGTTTTAAAAATTGATAATGTAAAGTCCAAAAAAAATAAAACAAAGAAAAGAAAAACTTTACGTGAATACTCCCAGAGTTTCCAAATGTTGAAATTCGAAAGTATGGTGATGCTGGAGAAAGCAGTAATTGAATCACATCTGAACTCATATCTAATTCTTGAAAAACATCTTTCAATGCCGCACTCTAAAATTGAATTTTCAACTTGACTAATTTGTAAGATTAAAAGAAAGATTAAAATAGACTCACAATAAAACAAAGTGTAAAAGTTTTAATGTGGCATCTACTAACCATTGTCTACCACAGGGTATGTTTATTTAAATATATGAATTAACTTAATTTAAAAAAAATTACTAACTTTGACTTTTAGTAATTTTTACTGAATTCAAATATAAGCAGTTTAAATGTATATTTAACGATAACTTTAATATGTTAACAGTTTTTACAAAACCCTTCTCTTTATTTTAATAGGTTTTAAATGAAATTAATAAAATATCATGGAGTTTAATTTCAAATTTGATTTTGACAAGAGTATGGTTTCTTTCAGTTTGAAGAAACTTTTTCAGAGGCTTGCTTAACAAAAATTAAAAAAAAGAGTGTTAGATAAATCAATACATGTTAAAATTGCATGCTTAGACAAACCACAAACAGCTATGAAAAAAAAAAAAAAAAAAGAGTTTATATGCTAAAAAAATCAAAAATTGATAAGGAAAACTTCAATTGAACAAAAAAAAAATTCTGTAAAAATTCATCAAAAGATAGGAAAAAGTAACAGATCTTTTCAGAGAGCATAATAAAATTTGAAACCTCTAAGATTTTACAGAAAGTTGTATATATATAAATGTATATTTTAGTATGTATCAACGTTTATGCAACCCTTTACAATTACAATTGTGGTGTACACATATATACACCCAATTAGTTACACGATACAGAATGAACCAAAAGATCATCATTAGCTAGCAAGCTAGCTCGTATAGCTGCAGTAATACAGCTTCAGCTATGAAAAATGATGCATTGACGTAACTATGATAGTTGCTGGTCTAGTTTTTTTTTGAAATTGTCTATATTAGAGGCAATGATAACATTATCTGGCAAAGCATTCCAAGTATCCGCAAACTGATTATTAAAATAGTAAAATCAAACTAGACAATTGCTATTAATTTTACAACAAAAGTGTGACCATAGATAAGAGGAATAAATATTGGGTCAGCATGCCAGTTTTGTTTCATTAAATCAGTTTTGTTTTCAATTTTGAATATTTGGATAAGGTACTACGCTTTCTTCTGTCACTTAGTGAAGTTAGTACAAGTTTAGCACATTTTGTCTTGTAAGCAAGGTGCTTTAATTTATAAGGTATTTTTCTGGCATGCTGTTGTAGTTTTTAAATTTCAGTAATATCTTTTTTTATATGAGGACACCATGCTGTCACAGCATATTCTAGAACTACATACGTTGGAAGTACGTTGTATAAAGGTTTTTCAAGACAATTATATCTTTGTTAATAAAAGTTTAAAATACCTAAAATATATCTTTATATCTTTGCTAATAAAGCTTTAACATAGCTGAGATTTTATTAGTCTTAACAGCAGCAGTGAATACTTGGTTATTGTGCTTTAGATCAATAGAGAGTTGAACACAAAGGACTTTTTCCAATGTTGTTGTTTCTAACCAAATTCTTTTGACTCCACTATTGGGGTCATTATCATGGATGAAATAGATGTGAGGGACAGATCTGGATTGATTGATGTGCATGACTTTACATTTTTTAATGTTAAGTTGCATGAGCCATATTTGGGTCTAATTGATAATTTTATCAATATCAGCTTGCAGACTAAGTTTTCTTTCTAAATGGTTAACTACACTTGGGAACTTTGTATCATCTGCATACATTTTGCAATTATTTTTCTGTGTTCTGGTTAATCATTAAAATAGACTATAAATAGGGTTGGACCAAGAACTGGGCCCTGAGGAGCAACACTAGTAACCTGTTCCCAATTAGATCCAATGTTTCCAAGGATGGCATGCGTTCTGTTGGAAAGAAAGTTACTAATCCAATTTAAAAAATTGCCTTTAATTTCATATGATTCAAGCTTTATTAGAATTTTTTGTGAGGAAATTTGTCAAATGCTTTTGCAAAATCAAGAAATAAGGCATCAACAGGTAATTTTTGTAAGGCAGTATATGTCAAAAAAATCCTTAGTTTCAAGTTAATTTGTAATACAGGATTTTTTGCTGATAATTCTGTGTTAAAATTGGGTGAGAAGATTGCTAGATATTAAGTGATGCATAACCTTATATTTAACCATTTTTCTATTATTTTACAAGGTACAGAAGTAACTGAAATTGGTCTGTAGTTTGTTGGGTCAGTCCTGGATTCATTTTTGATGGAATTTCATTAGCAACAAGCCATGCTTTTTGGTAAAATTGCTTGTTAACTCAATATTTGGAAAACAATGGCAGGTGGAGCTGCTATTATGCTATTTATATGTGGGAGCGCAATGCTTTATCAATGTGTGAACTTATTTTATCTTCTCCATTAGATTTATACAGTCAAGTACCTCAAGGTGTTTTTTAACAAATCTATAATCAAACGAAATGTGTATGAACAGATTTATAATCAAACAAAAAATGCGTTGAAGATGTGCGTTGAGCAAATTGAGGTTGATTTTTTTGCTATGAATTTAGACAAAAAGTCTTTTTGGATTGTTCTTACTTTCTATAAATTGTTCTCAAATGAGCAAATTGCAGCTTTAGTCTCTCTTTTTACAAGATTTCTAGTACACTTGTAATCATTAGCCAGGAGATAGTTTTCCACTTGCTGTTTTGTTCACAAACCTGCCTTGACTATCTTTTATAAAATGGTCAAATATCTGTAAGTCTGGTCGCTAACAAAACATAACACTGTATTAAATGATCAACTTTTAAAATAAAAATTTATAAAAAGGTGGCTATCAATGCTAGTCAATTTGTATACAATAAATATCGTTAAAAAAGGTTTTTCAACAAAACCGACTTTTCAATGACAATTTTAAATTCATAGACTAAAATTTGCGAAGGTATTAAGCGTAATCGAGTCTAATCAAAGCCTAATCAAAGCCTATCAAGTGTAAATCCTACTTACTTGAGAGGAACTATATTAGTTTGAATTTAGATAAATTACTTAGATGCAAAATTGTAAATATATATTATGTTTCTAAACCATAGAGAGTAGCAAAAGAGATATGCAATAGTGATCGACCGAAATTCTGTTTTGGAATCGGTTTTGGCTGAAATTTCAATTAGAACCAATGCTGAAATTTCAGCTTCAGTACTTTTTATAAATTTGGTAAAAAGCAAAGTTTTGGTTAAAAAACATACCAAAAACTGATATCTATTTTTTTGAATTTTTACAAAATATTTTGAGAAATTTCACAAAATTATTGAGAATTTTCACAATACCTTGTAAAAATCTTGTTTCGCAGAGAAAATGTGCCAGTTTTTAAATTTCTCTATTAACTTATATCGCCGACTTACGATCACAATACAATCTCCATTTGGGATACACGTGTATTTAATTTCAACATAATTCGAGTATAAAAAAACAACAAATGAAAAATTGCATTTTTAAATAAATTTTTCTAATAAAATGAATTTTGACTAGCCGAAATTTCGGTATTAATTTTGGTAAAATATTTGCTGAAATGTCAGTTTTTGCACAGAATTTGAGTACAAAATTTCAGTTATTTTGGTTTCAGCTTTTTTTTGTTTCGGTTGATCACTAGTATGAAATAAAAGAGAGCCAAGTCCATTAAATTTTAACATTAGAATGGAAATCAGTGATGACCATTGATTTCCATCCAAATCTTCAAAAACTTTAAAAACAACTGTAAACTTTAAAAAACTATTTTTTTCTGTAAATATTTGTCAAAAGCTTTTTTTTTCTGTAAAAAATTTTAAATAATCATTTAAAAATGTTTATTCTTTTTTGTTATTGCTTTGTGTTAATTTATTTATGCTGTGTTAAGTATGTTTTAAGTATGTTTATGTTGCCCATGGTTTTCATTTCAAAAAACTATGAAAAAACTATATCAGAAGTGCCTAAAACAATAATTAAGAATGATCATTGTTTATAAAAAAGATTTTTTTATTAGAATGACAAATATTCTGGGTTTTGACCTGATAAGAAAGAATTTATTCCAGTTTAAATTGGTGATCAAAAAAAGAAAATATTATTTTTAATAATTGACTTTGTTTTTAGTCATTAAATCATATGCAAAATTATCTTCATTGTAAATCAATGAACATGAGAATGAGAATATAGCATCATAAAAAACAACGGTTTAATTTTTTTTTAAATGGCTATTTGCTGAAAACAGACATTTTAAAAAGAGAATGCAAAGAAGAGGAAATCTCAAGCAAGATCGTTATTTGTTTAAAACTTTGGAATTTACATAAGAGTTTCTTAAAGAAATTGTTTCCACAATCATACCACTTTATTTCAAATTTTCATTCCATTACAAAATTTTCAATCATACATTGTTATTTCTAAGACACAGTTGTCATTTTTTTGTAATCAGCTAGTAAATTTTTAGCAAAATAAAACTAGTATTTTGCTAAATTTTTCAGAAAACAAAAGTTTTTATAGAACAAGATGCAGTCTAAAGATTTTATTGGAAACCTGTTTATATTCTGCTAAATATAACCTTATTTTATTACTTAAATTATATAGCAGGTGGCCAAAACAAAAATTAGCATCTTTTGTCATAACTTTTTATGACCATGGAAAAATGACCATATTTGTGAAGGAATATTTCTTTGCAACAAGTCATGGAAAAAGTGATGGCATTAGCAGTAAAAATAACCTGTAGCAAAAACCAGTCTCCAAAATAACCAAACGTCTATCGCTAAAATGTTCAAATTTTTAAACTCTAAATATAACAGGTATTATATTCAGCATTATTTTTATAACTAATGTAACTGATCATATAGAAAATGCTAAGCAACAACTTATTATCACTTATTAACTTACAACAGTTATTCTAATTGTTGAAAATTTCTAGGAATGCGGTCACCTCCAAATTTTATACCATGATTACATGGGAACCTAGAAATGAAATATATATCAGATGATACATGTTTTATAACAGTTAATGCAACTAATAGTTAAGAAGACTGGACCATAGTTGATTTGCAAAATAGACTTTAGACCATAGTTGATTTGCATAATGGAATATACCTTGTCTATGATAATGAGTGATACATTATAACTGTGTGAGAAATTGAAGACAATTTAGGTGTTTATGTAAAATTTATGCAACAAAACAGTGTAAATTTCAAGTGGTCCAGGCAAGAAAACAAATTTTGGTTGCCTGCTAAAACATAAATTTTTTAGCAAAAGTAAATATTCTGGTTGCACAATGGTAATCAGCAAGAAGTTATCAACTTTATAAGCAAGAGTTTGACAAATATTATTAAATTTTGAATCAACCAACAAAAATGATCATTAAAATATAAATAATTATTAAACAATAAAAATTCGAGAACAACAATAACATTTTGAACCATACTTTTTGGATCTTTTCTTTAATATTCTATTTTTTTTTAATTGAAATTTATTTCAACATTGTTTGAGTTTTAAATTTATTTATATGTTTGAAAAAGTCTTTTATGTAAAGAAATGCTTCTATTTAATTTGATTTTTGAGATCCTCATTTCAAAAAGAATAAAAATGGAAGATATTATTTTAAAATCTTGATCCATTTTTAGAGATATTGGCCACACAACAAATTCAAAATGAAAAATTTTAAGTTCAAAATTCTATTTTGATAGAAAGTTTAAGTTCACATATCTCAGCAATTAGAGACACCTCAACAACAGCAGATATCTCAGCAACTAGACATTTCAAAGTTATTTTTTCTGTATTACTTCTTATATTAAAGATCTTAAAAATTTCAAGATTTATATTTATTGCAAACTTGATAAATTTTCTGTCCTTAAATAGACCTAATTTTAAGGCTTTCAAGCTGGAAACTTTTTTAGAGAGATCTAACTTTTTTTTAGGGAGATCTATAATTAGAATCAAATGTTACAAAACTTGTCATCATTGAGGTCAACCATTAATATTTTCACAAAAAAACATAGCTTTCACATTTCCTTGTGTATTAATTTTCATTTTCTTTATAAATATCAAAATTTATCTTCAAAGTGTTTATTTTTTGTTTAAAAACCTACAGGAATTGTTAATTTCAAGAAAACCTGAGATGGTCATAGATAAATTATCAAAAAATTTGGCTCATCTTATAAAAAAAAAACCCTTGCTCCATCAGTCTGTGTCAGAAATTCCATAAATACAAGTACATCATATTTCTTTTATAAAAGTACATCTTATTTCTATCATGGAAAGAAAGATTTTAGTTTGTTTACTAAAAGGCACCCAATCCTGATTTTTTAAAAACACATGTTGACTATTATTTCAATTGTAAATTCTGACTTAAGCTGCACCACCAGCTTGCACCACAGCTGCACCACCTTTATTTTAATTAAAAATTATAAAAAATATAGACCACCATAAAAAAATATGGACCACCATAAAAAAATATGGACCACCTTAGCTTTAGCTTTACCACCTTAATTGATTCAAACTTGGGAAAATTTGATAAAGTTACAAGTAAAAAAAACTCTGTAAAAACTATAAAAAAAAGGGAGACACAAAAAAAAAATAATAATAAAAAAAAAAAAAAAAAAAAAAAAAAAAAAAAAGTAGAAATACCTTCATTATAATTTTATTGCGAACTTCAGAAGAAGTAAAATTAAAATCAACAATTTCTTCTGGATCTTGGGTATTTATACTACATTCTGTTAGGACGCCACCATCTTCAGCTAATCTAATAAACAAATTTTTTAAATATCTTTTTCTTAGGAAATTTATTGTATATTTTTTTAACAATTTTTTGAGAATTATGTTTTGAGCAATAGAATATAAACCCAAAAATTTTGTACTGTTCTAAAACAATCATAAAATTAACAATAACAATAAATAACATTTAAAAAGTATAATCATACAATAACTTTAGAGGAAAGCCATGACCAGCATAACACATTTTCAACGCAGTATGTGAGCTACTTTCTGAACCACCAAATATATGGAGACATTCCTTTATTGAAAATATATTTTTTCAATTATTATTATTATTTTTTTTTAAAAGATATTTTTGTGTATATATATAAAATTAAAGCACACTTTTGAATTTTTCAGATTGGGGTCGGCACATTATTGCCGACCTCAATCTTTTAGAGGTCGGCAAAAAAAATTTGATACAAAGGTCTTACCATAAAACATAAAAATGAGGTTGGCAAAAAATTGCTAAACTGGAGCTGGAACAATCATTTGGAGATAACAGAAAAATTTTTATAAGGCAGCAGAACATGTAGTATGTTAGGTCTAGATTAAATATAGTAGGGTGATTATGATGATTATGATTCTAACTTGCCCTGACAGAAAATAAAAAAAGTACTACTACTACTACTATTTCTGTTTAGCTTGCACCAACCCATTAATTCTGTTCAAGAAGGGACTTTTATTATTCATGCACATATTTAGTAACTAGAATCTTTGTGTACTACCTACCTTGAATCCTGTGGGAAAGGGGAGGTGTGTGTGTGTGTGTGTGTGTGTGTGAAAGTATTTATTAAAGTATTTATTTAAAAAATAAATGAAACATTAGAGAGTAAAGATTATTAAACTTACTATCAATACATTTAAATTGATTTTAAAAGTAGCACTCTCTTCTGTAAAAATATATTCTTGGAAAATAGAAGATTGAATAAAAGCACTAGCCTGAAGAAATTTGCTCTCTTCAACTGTCACTTTTAAACCATTTTCTGATACAAAAATAATGGCTGACTGAAAGAGAACATAATAAATAGTAATAGCTGCATGAAAATTACACAAAACTACAAAATATAATTTGTAATAATTGCCTAAAATAAAAATAAAAACTACTTTTGAAATTCTTAACTTAATTTTTATTATTTTAGAGAAGTATTGTATATTATAACATAAATTACAAATTATTCCACAATAAAAATTATACTTTCAAAAGCACTTATTAAAATATAATTTGAAACAAATATGGATTTGGATACTCAGACGGTTTTGTTGCAATAATAATGATTTACAGGTATATACATAAAGCTACCTTTTATCAAGCTCAACCCTATTTAGCATTACTATATGCAAAATGAAATAAATTTTAAAGTTTTGTTTTATAAAAAACTATTACCATAGACACCATTGAATATAAAAACAAGTAATGAAAAATTAACTGGATTATTTTGAAATAGTTATACTGCCTTAAAAGTTTATATAAAAATTTGCTTAAGGAGTAATAAACAGATAATTTTTATTCTTAAGATAATGTATTTATTTTTGTTCAATAAATCCATAATATATGTCAAGTCTTGCAGACTGGCGGGCGTGTATTTCAGACACCTCCTTTTAGTAAGTCTGTAAAAAGTCTTTTACAAAACAAATATTGTTAAAAACCATACTCTAATCAAACCCGAACCCTAAAACTAGGATTTGACTTAGGGTTTGGGCCAAGGGTTTTGGTTAGGGCATGGCTTTCAATTAAATCAACTTTATTGTTGGGTTCAGGGTTATAGTATTAGGGTGTGTCGATTTTTGATTTTTTTCGAGAAAAAAATTAGGGAGTTACTAAAAGTTGCAAAATTTGACAGAGAATCCAAATATATTTTTAAAAATTGAATTAAAAATTTTTTTGCTTATGTGATTTAACTTTTTATATTTCAATAAAATTTTGACCTGGTTTCTCAAAAAAACCCAGTTTTTACTTGGAAATTAATAAGCTTTTTTTCTACTTTGTTTGATAAATATCAGTTGAAATATAAATGTTGATTAAAACTAATTTTAGATATAATAGTATTTTCTTTAAGAATTTGTATAAAATATAAATGAAATATTTCTTATTTCAAAATTAGACTTTGAAATTAATTTTTAATATGCATTTTAATTTAAAACTGAAATTAGATTGAGATTAATTTACATATATTAAAATATTTTTCAATGTATTTTAAATACAGTTTGCCTTAACATCGCGTAATAATTTTATTGGTATTGATGCTAGAAATACAGCAAGATATTAAAAAAAAAACCCGAATTATTTCAATAAATATTATAAATTTAATACAACAACATTTGTGTCAAACTTTCAAGGTCTTGCTTACTATTATTTTTAGGCATTAACTTTCTATTCGCCTCTTGAGTTCTGACAAATCTTTCTCTCTTTTCATGAGTGTACACTCTACTTGAAGCTTCTGTAACTTGCTTTACGCAACGTTCAACAGATTGTCCATGACATGGCCAAATCGACACCTGCATAGGATTTGATAAAAACACATTAATTTCAGAAGTTGTTAGAGAGGTAGTTAAGACTGGTTCATAAACCGGTGACTCCCATGATATTAAATCTATCAATTTTTCAGCATTAAAGTTCAGAACAGGCGTTTTTCTTAGTCTAGGAGAGGAATCACCTTTTTGTAGATCTTCATTTCCAGTACCTCTAATATCTTTTATCTTATTAATAGCTACACTTCTATCCTCTTCAGTATTAGAACACAACAATGTTTGTAGTATACACTCACTGAAACAAAACCAAGCTGATCTTTGAATAGAGGGTGATACTATTTTAATGACATCTTCTTTTTGAAATTTAAGTTGCTGCAGTTGGTAAAGTACATGTTTAGGACCTTCAATCCAAGAATGTTCAACTTTAATCTTAAACCAACAAGGAAAATAAACACCTACAATGTACTCGGTGATAGATCTTAAATTTTCTAAATCTTTACCTTGAATTCCATGTTTAGAGATCCATATTCTACATATTCTGTTAGCAGTAGTTAAACATCTTGAATGTGAAACAGGCCCAATTTCTAATAAATGAAATTTTGGTGGTAAAATACCACTTCTAATGGCACAAACAACTTTATAACCATAAAATTGATCTGCAGACAAGTCATTTATTATTTTATCATCGAGAGAAATAAGTGGATTGGCAATTTAAATAGTTTCAAATACTGGATTTATATCTAGATCTGTATCATGATCAAGCATGGAACCAATAACACCAGACCATTTATTGTTTGATTTCGTTTGACCATCTAAATTGGTTATAAGATGTCTCAGTGGTAACTCATTTGTATGAAGTTGACATATAAGCCAAACAAGTTTTTTTCCTAATTTTATTTCTGTTTGTTTGATGACTCCACCCTCCCAACCGGTGTTTACATTTGTAGAGTCTCCACCAACAGCCAGTAAAGACTTGTCAATACCTCTCTCAGTCAGCCATTCTACAATTTTATTTGCTATAATCTCTGCATGTTTAACACTTTTTGTTGCTTTCTCAGGAGTAAAGTAAAATAAATATTTTCCTCCAGGTTCCATACAAACAGAGTAATGTTCTTCTTTCACTGTTACTGGAAATTTTGCATTTGAGTCATCAAGTTCAATCATTTGCTTGGTTTGATCAATTCTCCCATCAAAAAATATGCATTTCACTTCTCCACTTTTTGCTATTTTGTCAAAATCCTTACTAAGATCATAGATAACTTTTTCTTGCGCTCTCGAAACTTTACTATGATCAATAATTAACTTTTTATTATCAGATGTTATTAATCCTGCGTCAATTAGAGTTGCTGTAGCAATTGCAGCTGTAGCACGTGCAGATACCCCATATCTATGGGGGCAAAATTTACACAGAAATAGAATTACTTTTAAATATATATATATATATATACATATATATATATATATATATATATATATATATATATATATATATATATATATATATATATATATATATATATATATATATCAGGCCTTGCGATAAAGCGTCGGGCGATGTGAATTTTACGTCGTCCAAGAGCGATTTTGCGTGTAGCTAGGGCTATTTGCGTCGAGCAAAAAATTTTTCGTTTGAGTATATTTAAAGATATTTTTGAGCGGAATTTTAATGAAGTAATTTACGATTATTTTAACATTTAATAAAGTATTTTAAAAACCGCACGCAGTTGAAATAAAAGTTTGAATTTAAAAAAATCAAATATGCTCATTATTTACAAGTAGAAAAAATTCAAAAATTAAAAAAAAAGTTTAAATCTTTTAAGCTAAAATTTAATTAAAATTATTCAGCAATAGCAAAGTTGTCGATAAAACTGAACAAAAATACTTTCTTTTAGTTTTAGATTTTAAACTTAAATAATTATTTTACGGGGGTTTGTTAGGTTTTAAAATTATTCCATAGATTTAAAAATATTTATTAACTGTTAGACGTATTAAAAGTATTTGAGTAATTTCGAGGAAACATTTTAAAAATTGGTGAGGGCAAATAAAAAAATAAAAAAAGATTAATATTAAAACGCATTCTACTTGATTCAATAAAAAAGTACACTTAATAAAATTTTTGTAAAAAGTAACTCGAAAAAAATTACTTAAATAATAACAATCGCTTTTTTGTTAAAAGTTACCGAAACTCAACGAAGCGTGCTCAAGAACAGCTGCTGAAAAATAGAACGTCAATAGTTTTTCGAATAATTTTTAAGAATAATTTTTAAGAATAATTGTTTCGCTGAAATATTTTTTTTATACCTATAAGATTTTTATTCTAACATTTTATTTTACTAGAAATAAAATTCCTTGTTAATTAAAAATTATTCAAAACGTTTGTTTAAGTTTTTTATTAATACGAGTGATTGTGCCTATCAACCGCTTTTTGAAAATAAATAAAAATAAATAAATATTATATAAAATCGCTTGTAAAAATATTAGCTATTGCACAGTTTTTAATCGTACAATATTAAAATTTCCAGTTTATTACTCGCTGACTTTTTAAAAAGAAAAAATAATTATTTAAAAAACTTTAAATTTTTTTTTTTAAATCAAATATTAGCATATTTTATAATCTTTTTTAAATTTAAGTTATAATATTTTTTATTCGTTTAGTATAGACAAAACGTGACAAACGTCGAGAAAATAAACAAATGTTTTTACATTTTAAAAAACAAAACATTCCAAAACATTTTTAAATAATAACATTTCTACATAAACGATTTAAAGTAGTTTTGCGGTAATTAAGTAAATTGGTGCAGTTAATGTCGATAAATATGAAAAGCAAATAAAAAGAATTTAATGACGTCAAAAATCACGTCGTGCTTATGCGTCGCGCAGTTCTTATTCATCGCAAGGCCTGATATATATATATATATATATATATATATATATATATATATATATATATATATATATATATATATATATATATTTATAAGGATAAATACATTTCTAAAAAACAAATTGATTTAAAAAGAACTATAGCTCACGCTATTCATAGCTATGTGTGAAATTTCTAAGGTATTGTAACATCTTTTTTTTCCTAATGATTTCTCTAGTACTAAAGGTAATTCTACATTAGTAATATCATCAATGTTATCATTTAATTCTATTTCATTACTAAAATCACTTTCTTTTTGAAAGTTTATCTGATCTGACTCAATTTTTTGTTTTTTAGTTAAAATAACATTGCTGTCTTTATTCTCAAAATATTTTTCTTGATCTTTTCTAAGTAACCTTTTGAACTGTTTCCGGGTTTCAATACTATCAGGTAATTCAATTTGAAACTTGCTAACAGTTCCAGTTTTAATTCTTTGAAAATATATAAACTTAACGTCAATAGATAGTATTTTGTACTCTTTGATACATTTGCATTTACAATGAACTTCTTTATCACAATCATCAGAACGAATAAAATCATCACATTTTACAATTGGACATTTGCATACTAGTATATCAAAAAGTTTATCAAGTTTTTCTTTAAATTTTATTATTTGTTTAGCTCCTTTTTTTCTTGGACAAGCTATTGCTAAAGCGTTTTCCACAAAGTCACTATTTTATCACAAATTGTTTTATCAGTAATTAATTTAGGCGATGTAAATTCCAAATTTGCACTCGACCACTGGTGTAATAAAGCTGGAAGTATATCTTTGGCCATCTCTTTTACAGGATAATTTCTTTTTTTTATGTCTTCGCAGCCCTCTCTTAATAAAATTGCATATTTTATAACATCTCTGTTGGTTGGTAATTCTGAAACTAGAAATTGTTTTCCTGTACCAAATGCAACACTAATTTGCGTACAAGTACTTATTCTGGTTTTGGGTGCCATTATTCCTCCAAGTTATAAAATTTTTAAAGAGAAATTATTATCGTTTAGTAATGAAATTTTTTTTTTTTTTTAATATTTTAAGAATGAAAACAATTGATCAAAAGTTCTTAAATTTATATTTAACAATATGCAGTTCGCAGTTGTTTACTAAATGCGGCAACGAAAAATTAATTTACTGACCATTATTAAGATTAAAAAATTACGTTTGAGTAAATTTTTTTTTTTAATAAAAAGTTATTTTACGCATTTAATACAAAAAATTTTTGAATACTTTATACATATTAGGTTAAATGATTTTTTTATAAACTTAATGCAAATTTGTTTTGTTGTTTAAAAGTCTGTTTTTTTTTTACGTACAGTATTGTCCGGTTTTTATTTTTTATGAAAGTATTAACGGTTTTTATTTCCTTTTAAACGGAACAACGACGGTAACGTCGTTGTTCCGTTTAAAAGGAAATAAAAACCGTTAATACTTTCATAAAAAGGCTAATCACCTAAAATTTTAACAGATTTAGATTCTCCGTAAAATTTTGCAACTTTTAGTTATACCCCAAATTTTATGAAACTTTTTTTTCCGAAAAAGTCAAAAATTGACACACCCTGTTATAGTATGGCTTTCAACAAATGTTTTGCATAAAACATGACTTGTTTTTTATGGACTTACTAAAAAGGGTGTCTGAAATACATGTCCGTCGATAGACTTGACTAACTAGTTAAGTCTGGATTAATGGATTAATCCATTAAGTCTGTTTATAGGTTAAAGATTGTTTAAAAGGTTAGTTACTTGTTTCAATGTAAGTAACTAACCTTTTAGCTAAGCAATAATTTATATATATGTAATTTGATTAACAGCCTGACCACATAGAGCAAAATATGAATAAATTAAGAGTATGAACATGTCTGAAAAAAACATTTTGCCAAGATTTGCAGCTAGGCTATGTTTTACACTTGTTGGAATTAGTGAAATAAAGATGGTTAAAATAGAATATCATTTGCATCAATTATATTATCCTTGTGTATTTATTGTGTAATTTTTTTATCAATAACCTTGATAAAGGAAATTATTAATTGCAATTGTGATGTTACATGAAGACGTTCCCTAATACAATGGAATTCTGATAAAAATTTATATAAATCATTATATATATATATATATATATATATATATATATATATATATATATATATATATATATATATAAATATAAATATAAATCATTATATATATATATATATATATATATATATATATATATATATATATATATATATATATATATATATATATATATATATATATATATTTATATATATATATAATGATTTATATAAATTTTTATCAGAATTCCATATATATATATATATATATATATATATATATATATATATATATATATATATATATATATATATATATATATATATATATATATATATATATATATATATATATATATATAAAACAAATTATATCAGTTTTCAATTATTTATATTTCATCTTACTTTGCTATTTTTTAAAGATTAATTTAAGTAAGAGCTTAAATTGTAAAGTGTAATAATGGGGCACTTACTCCATATTCCAATTAATATTTTTATACTATTAGTATTATTATTAAGCTGCTAGTAATATATTTGCCCTGATCACGATGTTAAAATGATTTTATAATGCTGCTACAAAGACCTTGGAAAAAAAATTAGCTCCTTCAATATGAATCCATCCAATTTATATTGTAGAAGGAGCTTAGATTTTAATCATTTTATTAAAAAATAAAAATACTAATTAAACAGTGACCTGAAAAATATTTTAATGCCAAGAAGAAAATCTAATTGTAGGAAAAAAAAGTAAAATGATTGTTAATTTACCTCCCTAAAGTGGATTGCTTTCAATAAAGTGGACAAATTCTTTGCATTGTCAAGCTTTGCAATAAGAATATATTCAGAGTTATCAGTGTCTCCAACCAACATTTAATAAGTCTAATTAATCATAAAATTATAAAACGCAGTAATATAGGACTTAATTAACATACATTTCTACTATTTAAAATAAAAACACAAATCAGTGTCGTAAAAATTTAATTTTTGCGCCAGGCATTAAAATGGGTCAGTAAAATTTACAACAAAGCTTAAATTTTAATTCAGGTAATAATTCAGGACATAATTCAGGTAACTTCGGACAATTTTACTTTATTAGGACAAATTTTAATTCAGGACATAATTCAGGTAACTTCGAAAAGCAGAGCCGTGGCTACCCCATACCCCAATTGGGAAAGAGGATGGAGGAAAGAAGCAAATTTAGGGGGTTCTTTTAAAATGTAGGGGCCCTTTTGCAAATTGAGGAATTCATTTTTAGTAATAGATAATGGAAAATTTTTGAAGATTTTGGAAGTTTTGTAAAAAAAAAAAACAAATTCCAAAATCTTCAAAAATTAGAGTAGGAGGCGGTGGGGAAACTTCACCCAAGTCATAAGAGAAAAACTAATTAAGAGTGGGTTTTCTTTGAAAAAACGTTAGTAAAGAAATAGTAATAGTTTCTTATTTGAAGTTAAATTGTTGTTATATAAATATTGGTTTGAAATTTGAAACCCATTAGTATCTCTGCAAAGATAAAATTTAATAAATTAAAATACGCACTTTAAAAATTAAGTACTTTAACCATAATCATAAAATACATCTGTTATTATTTTATAATAATCTAATATTATGGCTATACTTTAACTTGAATAAAAATTACCGGGCTAAAAAGCAAATAATCTCTTACTTACCGTTTTCAAATAAATTTAGCGTTGCCTAATTTATGGACAGTCCCTTGTTTTGATTTGTTGAAACACTTGTTTTGAAATAAAAAGATCTTAAAAATCAGTTAACTTTAAAAATGCTTTTCCATTTTAAATTATCACAAAAAATATAGCTCAATTGTAAGATATAAGGTTTGTAAGATTGATAGGATGTAATATTGGATATAGTACAGTTAGGTCTGTAAGATGTTGTAATTTTACTATAAAAGTTTTTGATGAATTTAACGCAAGATTCTGTGATTTTAAATAAGAAGAAGACGAGTTGGACTTAGCAGCTAGATGCAGTGGTTAGAGCGTTTGCTTTAGAAGAAAGTAATCCAGGGTTTAATGCTAGCTCTGGGAATATTTAACAATATAATAATATATATATATATATATATATATATATATATATATATATATATATATATATATATATATATATATATATATATATATATACATATATATATATATATATATATATATATATATATATATATATATATATATATATATATATATATATATATATATATATATATATATATATATATATATATATATATATATATATATATATATATAGAGAGAGAGAGAGAGAGAGAGAGAGAGAGAGTACATGAGCATCGAAGTTTCACATTAAATAAACTTCCGCAACATTTAAATTTAAATGATAACTTCACTTTTTAATAACTTAATTTTGTGAAATTTGAAGTTGTGACTCTCATATTAAGATTAAAATAGTAGCTCTTACTACATAAGGTTCGATGCTTTATATAAGTCATATCAATGTTGATAAATTAGTAAAAATATTTCAGGTGATCCTAGGGCCCTGCTAATCAGCAGTTTTTGTTTGAAATCGAATCTCGAATCAAAGCAGGTCTTGGTTCGCGATTCGAACCACGTTTCGAATCGACATTTTGAAGTCTAAATTTAAGCTTTTTTTATTTAATAATACATACTTCAAAATAAAATAAAATAAAAAAATTGTATTATTTCTTTACTTCTTGCCTTGGTTAACCTTTTTAATGACTAATTAAAAAGGTATTTAAGGGTAAGTAACGTTATTTCGATAGTGCCAAAGCGCAGAATATCTAAAATACTCACAACAAAAAACAAAATAAGTAAGCATTCAATTTTTGAAAATTTTCGAATCGAATCTCGAATCATTTTTTTGATTCGTTTCGAAATTTTGAAGCTTCGCAGGGCTCTTGGTGATCCTTTAAACAGCAGTAGGCTCTCTTGTCGAGCCCTTATTCCGACGCTGTCTGAAAATGTAAAAAAACGACTCGGCAATTCCGCGTTTTCACGGCGTGACTTTTGACTTTTTTGGGGGGAAAAGCATCAGACTTTAGCGCATCTAAAATTAAAAATTTAAAAGTTAAAGATACTAAAAATTTTTTATATACATTACAGTTTCTAAAAAAAAATTATTTAGTTTTAATATTTTATAGACTTTTATGTATACGCATTAAAAGGTTGCGTCACGAAGTGACAAAAACTATGTAGCATTTTTCTTCTTTAGAAGAAATGACAGTAGTTCAGCTCTTGTGGATATTTTGAAATATTTTTTTGTTTTGTCTTGGATACTTAAAAGGTGTTATAATAGTTTCATAACATTTTAAAAATGTTTTATAAATTTAAATGGAGACACGGCATAAATATATCAACGGAGTTTACGTCACACCGTGACCAGTACAAAATCTTTGAATATTAAGACAATAACATCATCAAAAAGACAGTTGAAACAAAAGAAACCAATTTATTCGGATTTTTATAAGAATGGTATAACAATAACTTTAACAAAACAGTTTATTTACAATATTTTCAAAAAAAGTCTTGTAAAATTCAATTACATTTTTTATTCAATTTTATCTAGTTAATTAAGTATGATGCACTTAAATAAGGTTTCATTTCCATTTTATCATTAAACTGTTTTCAACAATTGGCACTAAATATTCCAGGCGTTTTACAAGCATTATTAATGATGTTTCCAAGTTCTGTGCCATCAAAAGCAGTTTTAAATTTTTCAGCAACAACCATGAAAACATTTACTTGACTTTCATCTCTGAAGGCTTTATAAAATGCTGTTGTGTCATTAATTAGAGCTTCTCTTCGAACAATTTTTTGTATTGCTAATCTTTTTATGGTTGCTTCTATATCACCGCATGGTCCTTTACCATGAGAGGTTGCAAAGTAATTCGAGCAAATTTTAATTTTGTGCTTGCTTTCAAGCCATGGAATTAAAGCTACTATGTAACAATTTTTAAATTGAATGCTAGGACCATCAGACCAAACTTGCAATGTTTCAAATGTTACAAAGTTATTACAATGGTTTAAATCATCAGAAATAATAACGGCAGATTCATAAGAGTCGCCATGCCAGCTAACAGCACTAAATAATGTTACTAATTTTTTGTTCCAATGTACTAACTGTACTTCATCCTACCAGAAAGTTGAAAAGTTTTCTGCAAAGTCAACTTGTAACAAAACTGAATCAAGATTGCTTTTTAAAACTTTTTTTTGGTTTCATAACTCATTGATTTTTTTCCTTTTATAAAATAATGCAAAAAAAATTTGGGTAGCATTTTGCAAACATTGTTATACAAAATTATGGCTTTGTTCTTTTTTTATTGCTCTTTCGAGGTACTTAGTTCAATTAAGTTGCGTAACTTTTTCCCAAAGATACCAGGTAAATTCTTTATCAGGGTTTTTTTCATCTAATTGGTATGTTTTGAGAAACAAATTTCCGTCCTTACAAACTTCACAAAAATTATTCCAACAACTATCATTTTTCTCGTCACACACTTAAGTATTTAGTAAAGCATGCGATTTAAGGGGAATTTTTAAATCGATGAGATGTAATACTTTGAGTGAAAAGATAATATTTTCATGTTTTTGACATGAACAAACATTTCTATGCATTAAGCTTGATAGAAGTATATGGCCTGGTCTCAAACTAGAAAACTTTGATTTACTGATTGAAAAATCAGTGTGTTCGTATTGAAATATTTGATATGCTTCACTTATGTTCATTGTTAAATACCTTTTTTGCATTTTCTTTTTTTCTTTATTACTTTTTAAAGCAATCGTATCTCTTACTCCAGGTGCCTGACGGGGTATACCATCTTGTTTAAAAAAACTAATGACGCATAGCTTTGTTTCATCATTAAGAGCATTAGGTCCATGTGTTGGTTGCATATCTGGTAAATCTTTGTTAAACTGAATTGCATGTTGTTTAACGACAGTTGCTTTTTTAAGAGGAGAAATTGGAAGAGCACGTATTGCTTTTTTAACAGCTTTAGCAAGTGTGCAAAATGATTTGTAAGCAGGAGAGATGTTAGATGTTATTTTAGATGAAGAAACTTTACTCTTTTTTTTCTTAACTTGTCCTGTAAACGTGCTAATTCAACATTAGAATTTCGTTTTTCCTTTTACCGTATTGAGTCCTTTTCTTTCATAAAATCCGCACCAAATTTTTGCATTTGTCTTTCTCTATACTTTCTCTGGTGTTCAGTATTTGTCAGAGGGATTTTCATTACTTTCAACGAAGAAATAAACAATTTGTTTGTGAAAGTTTACTTTTTATAAGAATTGTATAAACAATAAACATTCAGAATAACTTCAGCAATGGCGCAACAAATTTAAGAAAAAGTAAATAACAAAGGTGTTAGTAAAATATATCTACATATTTACAGGTACACCTACACGTTTAATAATAATAAAAAAAAAATGTTAGTTTTATTAAAGGAGGTTTCAAAACTTATCCACAAATAAAAAACAACAAAAATTCTACAAATGTTAAACCAACATGTTTTTTGCGTAACATTTTTATAAAAACTAGTTAAAAAAAATTTAATTTTAAAAAATGTCACAACGTGACATAAACTTAAAACACATAACACAAAAACTAAAAATATTTAAATATCTATTGATATTTAATGCCCTATTTTAGTTACAAGTAATTTATACATATTTATTTAAGTCTAAAAAATTTTGTTTAAAGTTTAGGCATCAAATCCTAAAATTCTTCGAAAACCAGTTCTACATGTTACATGTTTTTAGAAACTACAAACTTTTGAATGATACATTTAGTTTTTTATTTTCTAGGACTTGAAATTTATATTATACTTTTTGTACAACGTGGAATAGCCCTTCTTCATTTAAAAGAGAACCTGCCTACCCCAAACACTCAGTCGTTGTTTGCACACTCCGCTGCATGTTCTCTCTAAAAATCAGTCGGTATATGTGCACACCGTTGCGCAAATCCCTATATACCCTATTTTGCCTATTTCCTAGAAATACCAGTTCGCGGACGCAAAGGATGCTCAACGTCGGAATAGGGGTTGACAAGAGTGCGTTCCTGAATCAGCACGTTGAAATGCTTTTGAAGTCAAGATTTACGTAATTTTTTAAGGAGCATTAATTTTAAATGACCAAGACCCCTACAAAAACTGCTGACAACTGAACAGCCTCTAAGGGTCGGTTCAATGACGCACATTGCAAAAAACAACAACAACAACAAAAAAAAAAAAACAGAAATGTGATCAAGCATTTTGAAACAGATTTTACTCTAAAAATTTCTATAAGATTTTATAGTACATTTTTAAAGTTCCAAAAACTTCTGTTTTGTAGGACGCGTAATTATTATAACTATACAATTTTTCGTGTAGCGTTACACAAACTTCTGCGTAATTAATTTGTAAATTTTACTGTACTTAAAAAGTTGTATAGGATAGGGCCCTCGTTTAAGAGATAAAAGTGTCACTAGCAAGAATTTTCAATGATATATTTTTGATGAATTAATTTATTCGATGCTACTCCATGCTAATGTTACACTGTTATAAGACCGTTTATGTTTCCTTGAGTTTTCTTAAACTCTAAGGAAACATAAACCGTTAATTAACTTTTTTTTTTTTTGAAAAAAAAGCGAGCGATTCCATGAATAATAAAGACAAATGCGACTTTTTAGCATAAATTTTAATTTTACAAAACTTTACATATAATTTCCCATTTCTTCTATTTTAAAAATATTAAATATTTTATACGCAATTTATTTTTTTATTTTAATTTCGGTTAAAAACTCTTGTACCAATTTGACAGTTTCAAGAGCGCATCCCCAATGAACAGTCAAACCGCTACCTCCGTGACCATAATTATGGACGACCTGGAAAAAAAGATGTCATTAGCAATATTATATGGATGAACATTGGAAATGTTCAACTACACCTTTTCGCGTTTAAGTTAACCAATTTTCATTTTAGTTTGGCAATTTTAATTTTAGTTTGCCCAATTTTAATTTTGATTTATAACACAAAACTTACACATCGCAAAACAAAATCGTGCCAAATTAAAATGAAAATTGGCTAAATTAAAATGAAAAAATGCCAAATTAAAGTGACAAGTGCCTAATTAAAATAAAAAAATGTCAAATTAAAGTGATAATTGCTGATTTAAAATAAAAAAATGCCGAATTGAAAATTGGCCAACTTTATCGCAAAAGGGAACAATAATTTTAAAATGTAATATTTAATATTTTTATCAGCAGTACTAATGTAAATACTATAATAGTGTAATATATAGTAAACATTTATAAATGTAAAAATTTATATGTTAGATATTAAAAATACTTTATACTAACATTGGGCACAAATGACATTATGCCCTAAGTGGATTTGTTTTTAAAAGTTACGTTCTAAACGTCTTTTAAACGTTCTTTACGTTAGAATATTTAGAATACGTATTTTAAAGACGTTTAAAAGACATTTAAAACGACATTTAAAACATTTAAAAACATTAGATATTTAAAACATTAGACATAAAAACATTAGACATTTAAAACAAATGTCCGTAGGGTGCTAAATTATGAATGGACAAGGATATTCAGTATATAAAATGACTGAAAATTAGGACCAAATTAACAAGAATAGTAAACACAATTATTACAAAACTAACCTTTAAAATGTTTTCTGATCCTATACTTGATTTAACAACAAAATTTTCTTTTTCAACTCGCATTGATTTTCTACATGGGCGCAAACCAACCCACTCCTGAAGCACCTCTGCTGACTAAAACATAGTTAAAAAAATAAAATAATCCATTAGTTAATTTTTTATAAATAAATAATAAGAATTTATTTGACCTCAACAATGACCTAATTATGCACTCTATAATGCACACCAAAATAAAACAAACAAACAAAAAAAAAAAAAAAACACTAACAGGGATCAAAACTCTTATATTCAAAAGTTGCTGATAGAACAAGTTATCAACAGCTGTAAAATAAATAGGCTGAAAATATTTTTTCTCTATTTCTAGTGATTGACTGAAATTCTGTTTAAGTATCGGTTTCAGCCGAAATTTCAATTTGAACTGATGCATATTTTCGGTTCCAGTACTTTTTATAAATTCGGAAGCAAAGTTTTGGTCGAAAAATATACTAAAACCCGAAAAATTTGTATGATTTTAAATGGTTATTTAATTTAGAAAAATAGTTAATTTCGACATTTTACACAAAATTTTTTATCATTTTTAAATGAAATTTTAAGCCCATCAATCACAAATTACTTTTTGTTAGCAAATATCCATCTGCTTCTTGAAAAAATCAAAACCGCAAATAATCAAACCATTGCAGAAATACTATTTGGTTTAAATAGTTTAAATAGAAAGCGAACAAGGATTATGTTTCCTGGATGTAAACTTTTAATTAATTTTATCAAGTTTTCTATATTATCTATGTTTCTATGTTATGTTTATTGACTTTTTAAGGAACTTTAGTTTTCTTGTTTATTTATGATTTATAGTTTATTATTATTATATAAAATAAAAAAAAATTATTAAAAAAATAAACAACAAATTTAAATAAACAACAAATGTAAGTTTTTTAAGATAAAATTTTTTTAATGAAATTATTTTTGTTTAGTCTAAACTTAGGTTTTAGTTTCAGTAAAATAGAAATGCAGAAATGTCTCAGTTTCGCTATTGAACTAGTATACCTAAAATATACATATTTTTTTGTTTTTTTTTGGTTTTAACGTTTTTCCTGTTTTTAATACTTATACAAATTTTTAAAAGAAGATATCACATGCAAAAATGTATTTGGTCAAAGATTTTGGGTTATTATTTGCTATAAGACCTTAATTTACAACATAGTGAAGTACAGCATCGAAAATATGCTTTGTTGATGAATATTGTTAACTATATTTTCTAATTTTTTTGTTTCAATTATTTAGATTTAGAAAATCCTTTTTTCATATATGATAGAATTTATTATTTTATTATTTAAAAAAAAAAAAAATTTAATACATTTTAATAATGATATATTAATATATAATATATAATACTGTATTTAACTAAAAACATTTTTTCTTAATTGTACTTAGTCATCTATTTTTTTAATTAAATTGTCTGGTGCTGTTTCGTATTCATTGTCATCACTAAATAGTATATACTAAGTTGACATTTTGCAAAAATCACAATGCATTTAATCTTTATTTTTTCTATTTGCCTATATTTAAAGATACTAAACTTTTTTTAAATTACATGTGCAGAGTGGGTCACATTATACATTTTATAAAGTTAGCTTAATTTGATTATATGGAATCATTTGAATTGAATCACTTTAAATATTCCCGGGCTCTAATACATACATACATACAGTATGGTATTAAAACTAATCTTACCGGCTATTATTTTAAATAAGTAAAAAAAAAACTAGTCTAAACCAATAATATCAAAATTAAATTTTTATTTAAAGAAAAACTTACTTGTACTTGCAACTTACTACTTGTAATTGCAACTTACTACATTACCTTGCTACTTGCTACTTGTAACTTACTACTTGCACTTGCTACTTGCAATTTAATACTTGTAATTGCAACTTACTACATAAACTTGTAACTTATTACTTGTACTTGGTACTTACTACATGAACTTGTAACTTACTACTTGCACTTGCTACTGACTACTTGTACTTGCTACTGACTACTTGTACTTGCTACTTGTAACTTACTACTTACTTTTAGGCAAGGATAAATTGAAGATGTTGTTCTTAAAATGAACTCACGGTCTTCATTATTTGGAGTTAAATCATAGTTGTTTAATTGTTTGGTTCCTCCAAGAATTACATAATCCTGGCTAAAAAAATTAAAACATTAACTAAAAAAGAAAAATCTTCAATATCAATTTATAAAAACTTCAATATTCATTATAAAAAATTAAAAAAAAAAAAATCGTAAAAAAAGATCAAAAAATGCATAAGTAAAAAAGGTAACTTTTTTTAACTTGCAAAATTATATAAAATAATAAAATTAAAAAAAAAAACACTATTCAAACTGTTTAAAATTAACAGCAGTTAAATGGTTTTTTGAAACAAAATTACACAAATGTACAACAATTAAAATGAATTAATATTTTTTAATGCAAAAAAGTTGATGTAAAGGTTTTTTTATCGTTTGGCACAGAAGCTTCTTGTGGTTTCTCTAACAAAAAGATTTTTCTATTTAATTTCTCTGTATTTTTTTTTAAACAATATTAAGTATTAATTAAAAACTTTTTTTGATTCAACATGGCAGAGAGAACAACTCTTGAGGAGGTTACTCATTTTTTAAAATTTAGTGTTGCAGCCCACTTTCAATCTGCTAACTTTGAAACAACAACAACAAAGAATAACAAACAAGGTTGTTGCCTGAAGAAACATGTTAAGTGCAGTAGTACTAGTGATAAAGATGACACCATGATTATCAGATGATACAGATGATAAGGATCAAACTTGAAACCTCTTGTTTATGAATCAAGATCTTAAACAATGCAAGTATACAAACACCAACTTTTGCATCAAGATGGCAGAAATACAAACTATCCAATGAAACTGAAAAAAAAGAATAATACTTTTTTTTCTTGCTTTAGATTTGAATATCTTGCAAGCTAAGTCCAAGTTCTGTTCTTTCAGCCTGAATGTAAATATTTTGGCTCCACTTGTATAAACTATTCATTTCACTTTGTTTAAGAAAAATATGGTTGTTTAGAAAGTGATGGACACCACTCTTTCAAATATTCTAAAAAACTACCTTTGTTGGACAGATAAAAAATGAGATTAATGAAATGAGAACTGGCAGCTGAACATTTATTCAGAACTAGTGCAATTGATGAGAATATCTTAGCTTCAATATATCTGTAATTTTGATATCAAAACCATACTGAAGTCTACATACAGCTGAAGTCTTCATACATCAAATCTTACAGCTGTAAGGTGTATCTGTAAGGTGGTTCATTGGTTTTCTCCTCACACAAAAAATGGCAAATGACATGGCTTTTCTTTCTTCTCGCAGCCAGCTCTCCAAGTTGCTCTGTGAATACCAAATAACACACAAGGAAATTTCTTCTTATTATAACATATTAATTCATCAAAGTATTTTTGCATATTTTTCTTCTGCTAATTCTCTGTATTGAAATAGAGTTTTTTGCAAAATAAATGAAAAATAGATAAAATTAAACAAGAGATTAAAAAAATTTCCTCTGTAAATTCTGAGTGGTTTCCCCCTTGTAAATTCTGTGTGGCTTCACCCTGTAAATTCTGTGTGACTTTGAAATTTTATTGACTTGACTAAAATTGCTGCTGTAATTGAGAAGTAAAAACCATTGATATCAAATTGAATAAATGTGCAATAATTTTTATTACTACATTTTTATAAAATCAAATTATAACACCAATTAAACTTCATTTTACTAATACTTAGTAGAAGTATTATTAATTTCGTTCAATTTACTTACAATTTACTTATAAAATCACTTTTTGGAAAAAATAATAGAATCTATTTGAAAGAATTTTTTATGATTTTTTGGTTCAATAAAAGCTTGTGCTGGAGCAACTAGCTTTTAATTCTAGCTTTTAAATTAATTAATTTAGCAATTTTTGACCTATATTCCTAATTTTTTTAACTTTTACATAAATAATACAAATATTATTAGGAAGTATTTTCTGATGATTATTTGAAGTTTGAAAAATGTTTTTTTTTTTTTTTTTTTGGCAAAAACTAAAATGTTAAGGTTTGTTATTTATATTTATATTTTTCAAAATTATTTTTATTTCAAAAATTCTTTTATTTAAGTGTACTGCAGGCAATAACAAGACAAATACTTGAGAGGTGGTATCAAAGCAAGTCTTGGGCTTTCAAAATTTGGTGAAAAAAATACATTCATGAGGATAAGGAATCATCATACATCCAATACTTAATTCTAATTGGTTATAACAGAGTATTTTTTACCTTTTCCTAAAATCCCATTTTTGGCACTTTATTATATATATATATATTTTTTTATTTTTGTAGACACTGTATTAGTATCATCATTTATTATACTTGTCTATAGGTGGTATTAGTCCAAAGGTGTATTTGATATTAGTATTAACTTGGTTTTTATATCATGACCAGTAATACCTTATTTTATATCATTTCTTGTTAAAAGATTAATTAAAAAAGCAACATTTATAGTTTGTAGTGTGTTAAGATTCCATTTTTAAATTATAATATTGTTTATTTAAAAATCTTTTTTTGTGTTACTAATTGTCATAATTACATAGGATGCAATGCACAATACACAATGGCATGACGCAATGCCACATACAATATTATCACTTGTATAGAATGCTAAGAATGCTTATTATATTTTCTCTTTCTCCAACTGAGAGACTATTTTTTCACTAAGTACAAGTCTCACTACTTCTTTAAATAGCTATCCTTCTGGATTCTTACTGAAGAGCTCTACAATCTACAAGCTGTGCTTAGAATCATAATTTCCATGTCAGCCTGACTAAGTGGCTTAATTGATAACCTGAATGCAACCAATATTTCTCAGAAATAAACAAAATATTATTAAATTAAGTGTAATAAATCATTTCTGAAATTTTCTAGAAATTTTCAGTCTGGTTGTTTATGATGATTTTTATTTTTTAAATTTTGAGAAAAAAATAGTGCTCAGCAAGTATATATAATAAAAAATATTTAAGGTAAATTTTGTCTTCCATAAAAATAGTGTTTTCACACACACATATATATACATATTCATTCATACAAACACACACATAGGTTTTCATAGGAGTAAATGACATCACAAACAATTAAAAGCTTGCCTGAAAAAAAAAAAGACTTGGCAGGCTAAAGGAGTTGCCTGCTATAATAATTTTTTGCACAGTTTATCAATATTAGGATGAAGTTTACATTGAGTTTTTTCAGTTACATATTCAATTCGAGCTTCTGCTTGTTCCATTTTATTTTATTACAAGTCAAACCAAATAGATAAATTGTTAAGGTTATTTTGCATATGCCAAAGAAAATATATTGCTAGAGAAGATTTTTTTTTTAATATTTCCTATGCACTTTAAAAAAGGAAGCATTTTACTAACATTTACAAACAAAATTACCAAACTACTAAAACAAATAACTAACTACCAAATTTTACAAACATTATTTATTTTTATGTTTATTTTATTTAATTAGACTTTTTAAATTATTACTATTATTATCATTATTGCTATTATTATTGTTATTATTATTATTATTATTATTATTATTATTATGATTTATGCTGTAGCTGGTAGAATCACCAAGAAGTGTGAATTGCACACTTTGACAGCCTTATTAAATATCAATAAAAGTTTTCATAAATGTGCAATTTGTCACTTATGTACTTATGTATTGTATCATAAATATTTTAAAATTCCTTCAAAGATTTTGCGTTTACAGCTTCTGCTAGCAGAGAATTCCATAACTGTGCGTTTCTATTTGTTAAGAAGTTATGTCTTATTTCATTGCAAATAAATTCCCTATTGTATCTAAACTTGTGACCTCTCGTGTTTAAATTTTTAAATAATGGTGGATTGACAAGATCAACTTTTTCCATTTCTTACATCTGTATCATGTCTCCTCTGGATCTCTTCTGCTCCCTGTCTCCTCTGGATCTCCTCTGCTCCGGGGTTGTTAAATTAAGTTTGACAAGACGATCTTTAATTGTACTTCTTTTTTTTTTAATCTGCAAAAGTTCATTCATTTCTCTTGTTATATAAACAAAATGTTATCGAAATTAAAATTTTGAAATCACAATGAAATAACTCCAAGAAAGAGAGCGACTAACTATAAAGAAAAGGTATTTGCAAAAAAAACTTAAATAAATGAGTTCAATTTTTAAATAATTAAATGAGTTTAATTCTTTAAATATTGTTTAATGTTACATTTCAAATTATTTGTGTGTGTCAGTAATTTATGTGTGTCAGTAATTTATGTGTGTGTCGGTAATTTTAGATTTTAGACCTAGTGAAAAAATGTAGTAAATGTAGTTAAAAGTTTATTTATTTTCAGTAGTTGCATAGACAACTAAATTTTATATTTTATATTTAAAAAGTTTACAATTAAAAATATAAAACTTGGGATTTACATACTTATTAAGAACTTTTATTTATAAAAAAACTTTATTATTAAAAATAGATTAAAAAAAATTCTTGCTAGCTCTACATTTCTTGACATAGCTTGACATTCACATCACTCCAGCTTCTGTATCTAAAGTGATTTTCTGCTTAGACTCTTCTACAGTTTGTGGTTCGGACAACATATCTGTTATAGTCTTGCAGAAGTGTTTCTTATCTTGGGTTAAACATCATACTTTATCATGATGCTTAACCCAAGATAAGAAAGAAAAAGTCTGAGCTTATTTCAGCAATAATTTCTAAAAATATATTAGAACTGACATCAGCAACTCAATCCTCTGCTTCTCATTTTCCATTGGTAGTTTTTTATTGGAATTTGGTGTTGATATTTATAAAGCCTTTATCAGCCAATCAAATTCAAGAAAAGCTTATATGAAATTTTATACTAAAGGAGCTGATGAAGCTATAAAATTTATCAATTGTTGTGAATATCTTACTCTTCATTGTAATAATGAAATTATTACAATGAAGAGTATGAAATGCGTAAACAGATAGGAGAACTAATGAAATTGAAAGGGAAGGCAAAGAAAACATTTTTTCTCTCCTTTTCCTAGATTAAAAAAGTATTAAGTATTAGAAATCAAGAGCATAAAAACCTTCTCTAACTTACTACAAACCTTAAAACAGTTAAAATATGGTAATCATCAACTTCTCCAACTTCAGGTACTACAAATCTAAAACTCATCCTAGAAACTTTTTTTTTCTATTTTTGGTTGTGCTATACTAAGCCTCACCAGAAAATTTTTTTAATTTTTGATGTAAGCGTTTTTTGATAAAACCTTTTTGTTTGTTTTGTTTTGTAGTTATTTAGGTGCTCCCACGGTGTTCTGTGATAAGTCCTTACGGTCTTATCACAGAACACCGTGAAAAACAATTTATTAGTAAATTTTTTTATTTTTTCCAATAAAATAAGTGTTTATAACAATTTTAAAGATGATAGGTACATGCACATACATGATAAAAGTTCAATATTTAATGGAAGCATAGTTATTGTCAATTACCATTTGGATACGTTTTGGCATGCTGTTAACAAGTTTTGTACAATAGTCTGGTGTAATTTTGCTTGGTGTAATTTTAGTCTGGTGTAAGATTGCTTCAACTTAATCATTATAGGATTTAGACTTTTTGGCAGCAACTTTTACTTTCATAATATGCCAACAATTTTCAATAACATTAAGATCTGGTGATGACCCAGGCCAATTTTCAAGGGTTTGAATTCCTTCATCAGCAAACCACTTCTTTACAATTTTGGCTGTGTGGCATGGTGCACCATCCTATTAGAAATAAGTGCAGTTCAAGATCTGCATGAAAGGTGGCAACTTCTCCTTCATAACATCCAAATAGACTTTGCTGTTTATTGTGGTATTCTTGGGCATTATCCATAATGGCCCACGTCTTTTGGCAGAAATAGCACTTCAAACCATACAAGACAAAGGAGCCTTGACACTGCTAACTGTATATTTTGGCATATATCTACAGTTTTTTGGTCTTTTTACAAAGTTATTTGTAACATTAAATTGTTTAATACATGTTTCATCAGAAAAAAGAACTTTAGACCAATTTTCTCCAGTCCAATTTTTGTAGCGCTGACAAAATATTTTTCGATCTTTTAGGTTTTTTAATGATAAAAAAGGTTTTTTTGTTGGCTTGCATGCCTTCATTTTGAAATCAATCAAAGCCTTCTTCTAACTGTTCGGTCACTTACTTTTTTCTCAACAAAAATTTCTTTTGAAATCTCGTGTGCAGATAGCTGTAGATTTGCATGGCTGATCCAGCCAATAAGTTTGTCAGTTCTTGAGGTGGTTGCTCTGGCCCTGCCTGATCTCATCTTTGAAGTAAAATTTAATTGGGGCTCTTCTTTATGCCTTTTTAAAGTTCTACTTACAGTTGATAATGAACAACCAAGCTTTTCAGATATTTCTCTTTAAACTAAACCTTGTTCATATAATGCAGCAATAATTCCTCTTTTTTTAGGTGAAAGTTCTGGCATAATATAGCTGATAAATTGCTTATGAATAATAAAAAACGATAATAAATTGCGCAATATACAAATACGTAACTATAAACATTTTGCTATCTAAAAACAAAAGCATCAAACCTTCAAAATTTATACTTTAGATCAAAAATAAATTTTTTTGGTCGTTAAATGTTTTGTTCCAAGACTTTTGGCCACCACTGTATATATATATATATATATATATATATATACACATATATATATATATATATATATACATATATATATCAACCCTTGGAATTAGGGTCGGCATTCGGCAATGCCGACCTAACTGCTGACCTAAACGTGTTTGCAGTTGGCAAAAAAAATTTGGTTTTGCCAACCTCGATAAGATGTTTTATGGTAAGACCTTTGTATTAGCCAACCTGATGCCAACCTCTAAAGGATTGAGGTCGTCAAATTATTGTCGACCTCAATTTTCCTAATTCCAAGGGTTGATATATATATATATATATATATATATATATAAATTTATATATATATATATATATTATATATATATATATATATATATATTTATATATATATATATATATTTTTTTTTAAAACATCAAGAAATACAGTTTCTCTCAATACTAATAATTATATTTTTAAAGAAATTTTTGCTGGGTTATGGATACCAGCATCATCAGCTTATTTAATATTACAATAATTTTTAACCATTATAGTTTATATAAAATTGTTACTATATAAACTATATTAAACTATATTATTAATAAACTATAAAACACACACACTTATATATGTATATATACACATATAATATATAAAAACATTCATACATATACATACATACATGCACATAAATGTATATATATATACAAGGGTTGAATTAAGTGATCGTGATTTGAAATATCTGGAAAAATATCTGGTCTTCAAACTTTTAGTTTTAGCAAAACCATGTTCTTTGTTTATAAGGGTCAAATTAACTTAAATTTGTTAAAGAAAATGTTATAAAAAATAAAACAAAACAATAAACTTACGACTAGAAAAGTAATAACACTTTAGTCACTAACTGCATCATAAATGTAATAACAGTATAATAGTGTTATTACTTTTATAATTCTTTTATAGCACTTATAACTTTTATAATTCATTCTTTGTTCAAAAAACATAAGTAATCCCAAATTTTAGTTGAAGTAGAAAAGCATCTAAAAAAATAAAGTGGTTAGTCAAATTATACTAAAAACTTAAGGAACTTAAATAAGTATGTGTTTTATTGATTAGGTTGAGGTTGTCACGCGACAGTAATGTTATCACCCCATTCCAAATGGCAGAACTTCTGAAATGTTCTGAAATTTTTTTTTATTCGAGTTTAATTAACAATTTACACATTTTTCATGCTGCTTTTTATTTCTAAGTACCTAATTGAGTTTTAATAAATAATAAATTATTGTTAATTAGCTAATTAACAAATTATCCATTCAACAATGCTTAAAACATTTTATTAAAAATATTTTTGTAAAATGTTTTAAAGATTTGTTGAATGGATAACTTGCGATGTCATTGTATGTTTATAATGTATGTACATTTTAAAGCATGTCGAAATTAAGCAATAATAAAAAATAAACGACATAAATTCCATATAAAAGTTATCTATACTTCCTTATAAACAGTTTGGCAGTTACTTTACACAAAGTTGTATAGAATTCAAAATTAAAAGTAAAAAAAAGTAAAGAAGTAATTAAGATAAATCTTTACATTACTTTAATTTATGTTGTTGTTTGAACGATTTTTAAATTTTTGATTTAAAGCATTTTTATTACCAATTCTAACAACTTCATGGTTCTTTTAAATTCTTTGCGTTAAGTTTTAACTCTTTAACTACTTCTTCACGTGATCTTTCTCAACTCTTTTATAACCACTTCTTCATGTTTCTTCAATCTTTTTGAACTCTTTTATAACCACTTTTTTATGTGATACAATCTTTCCATCTCTCGTACAGCTAATTTTACCGCTTTCTTGCAAAACTTAACTGAACAACAACCTATTGCAAATCAATTTTTAATTCTAAAAAAAAAAATGAAACTATGCTATAATAATGGATAATGTAAATATTAGTATATATTTCTTCACTGGTATAAAAGTTACATCATTTTTTTGGCAGATTTTCTTATAACATTCTTAATTATCAAAAATTCTTTTGGATTTTATCTTATTCTTTGTAATCTTATTTCCTCATTCTAATTAATTCAATCAATCCTCATTTTTAATATTATTTGAATATCCACTCTATTTTTTCTAGATGCTTTTCTATGTCAAATAAAATTTGGAATTACTGATTTGTTTGAACAAAGAATGAATTATAAAATTTATAAGGGCGTTATAATAGAAATAACACAATTATAGTTTTATTACTTTTATAATGCAGTTAGTGACTAGAATCTTATTACTTTTGTATTGTAAGTTTATTGTCTTGTTTTAGTTTTTATAACATTTTCTCTAACAAATTCAAGTTAATTTGACCCTTGAAAACAAAATACATGGTTTTGTATAAACTAAAAAGACCAGATATTTTTCCAGATATCGCAAATTGCGAATGCCTAATTGAACCCTTGTTATATATATATATATATATATATATTTATATATATATATATATATATATATATATATATATATATATATATATATATATATATATATATATATATATATATATATATATATATATATATATATATATATATATATATATAATATATATATATATATATTAATTATGGCCATGCTATAAAAAATCAAAAATATAAATATATATTATAGCCTTAAAGAAGTAAATAATTACATACTTTGGTAAGACATATGTACACATTTCAGGCCCAGTGTCTTCAAATACAATAAGAAACTCTTTTATTGAATTAGCTTTAACCTGCCAATAAAAGATAAGAAATAAAAATATTTTCCACAAACTTGTGTAAATATACTTTTTGTAAACAGTTACCTGTAATTGTCACTAATCCCATAAATGTGTTAATATTTAAATAAGTATTTTTAAAAATGGGTGAAAAAAAAAAAAAAAATGGATGTCCTTTGAAAAAAAAAACTTTTTTTTTCAGCAAGTAATGTGTCTACTTGTCCATTGAAAGCAAAAAAAAAAGGTTTTTGAAATGTTTTGAAGTTTAAACCATCGACCCCCTTTTCGAAAGTTTTACACACTTTACCACTTACTTTAAAAAAAAAAGGGAGCCAGAGGGTGTAAAACTATTTTTATCTATTTAACATTAAACTATTATTATTAACCAACATGTTTAAATTAAGATTGTTTTGTATCACCTTTGATCCCATTTCTGCAATATGTATCAGATGACATAAGTAAATAAAATTTAAGCATTTAATCTAACGACCACCTTATTTATTAAATTATTATCAAAAAATATTTAACTATAAAAATTATATGCAAAGCTTTGAATTATATTTATATTTATATATTTTGTAGATATTTTTTACATGTATAGGATTAATAGCATTTAAATAATATTCAAAAAAATAATTTATTTCTATTCTGCGTTCCATGTCATGCAGCATTGGCAAACTTAAATCTTGCATTTTTATGTATTTTAGTCAATAGTAGTTTTGTGACCATTTTTTCCACTAGAATCCTCTTGATTTTGACAACATTTGTTAGGCACGTCTTGTGGTTACAGATAGATCCAGTTCAGTCCTTAATTGTCTTGCTGTTTGTACTCTGGATGACCCCAAATGCAAAATGGAAGAATGTTGCCTTCTGGGTATTTTTTTTTTCCACCATTAGGGTGATTTTTGCTGCAATTTTCAACAGTTTATAAAACTATTCACCGCATAATGAGACATTTTGATTTTCTTTGTAATCTGTCTATTGGACAAAGTCATATCTTAGTAGACAACAATTTTTGCTTTTTCTTCCTCACACCCAATAGCATGAATTTATAATAATTCAATAAAAAAATGTTAATTAAAAATACACAAAATTTCCATATAGAACAAAATATTACTCAAACTTCAATAAACTCTTATTAAGTGTTCAAAAATACACAAAATTTCTATATAGAACAAACTTCTAGAAACTTTATTTTCAATTGTTTCAGAAACACATAAAATTGTTGTAAACACATTTGTTTGCAATAGGTCTAATAAAGAAAACTTTTGTGGTTAATTTTATAAATATATTCCACAAAAAATCAATAACTAAATGGAACTATGGAAATTTGGCTGAGTGTATACCGTAAAATCGCCTAAGTTCTGTCACTTAAGCTTTGAACATTTATTTATCACGTATACATAAAAAACTTAAATTCTTTTTCCTGAAACACAGAGAAAATTATATTGATAGTGAAAATTATATTATAATTGATATTGTAAAAATAAAATAATGAAAAATAAAAACTAGTACTCAATATTTAATTTAAAATTAAAACATCTACTTTGATCGAACATCTACTTTGACCGAACATCTACTTTGACCGAACTTTCAATACCATCTCATAAGTTTGGCCGCTATATAAATACTAAGAACGTATCACAAACTTAAAGTCACAAATAATAAAAGCTAATTTTTAAATGTTGTTTTATTGTAAAATTATGATATAAATTCAGTAACTAAGGAGAGCATCGCCTTATGCTAAAAAAAAAAATCTTTTGGAGCATCAAAGAAAACTAGGAGTACATAAAAAAAGGTCTTTTTAAATATAAGTAGTAGTATTTTAAATTTTTATTGTAATTAGTCAACTATTTTATTACTTTGGCTATTTTCACTTTTGTTACGTCACTGGTTAATAAAATTAAATATACATTTTTCAATTAAATGAGCTTTGTATGTTTATTGGAAATTCTTGCACATATGGTTGACCATAGTAATACAACAATATCCACACAACCAATCGTCACAGGATTCGCAACGCATCTATTAAGCTGTAATTTTATCTCCCAAAAAAATGTCACAAGCTCAACATTTTTTAGAACTCAAAGAACCATTAGTTAATTTTGAAATTATGAACAAATTTTTTATTCAAATAAAATACCATGGTGTGTATCCATTACATAAATGTCAAATTTTACTGGTAAATTTTTGACATTTTACAATAATTGCACTGCTAATTGTCTCCGTTGTTTATTAATTGTCTCCGTTGTTTATTAATTGTCTCCGTTGTTTATTAATTGTCTCCGTTGTTTATTAATTGTCTCCGTTGTTTACTAATTGTCTCCGTTGTTTATTAATTGTATCCGTTGTTTATTGTCTCCGTTGTTTATTAATTGTCTCTGTTGTTTATTTGTGAATGATCAAAGTTAGAGTATTTCAAAATTTCACTAATTTTTATAAAAAAGTAGTATATATATATAAAACAAATATATATATAAAACAACATCAAAACTCCATAAAAACATAATATATATATATATATATATATATATATATATATATATATATATATATATATATATATATATATATATATATATAATAAATATATATACATATATATATATATATATATATATATATATATATATATATATATATATATATATATAATAAATATATATAATAAATATATATACTATATATATATATATATATATAATATATATATATTATATATATATATATATATAATATATTATATATATAATTATATATATATATATATATATATATATATATATAATAATATATATATATATAATATAATAATATATATATATATACCTATAGTATATATATATATATATATATTAATAATTTAATTTTGTATT